CTGATCACCCAGCATGGAACCATTTTATTTTCCAAAGTCTTCACAAACCTGACATGGAAAACAGCTCTTTAAAGGGATTGTTCAGATTTTTTGAAGTGGGGTTGTACGGTATACCTATCTATAGACAGTATATTACATACAGTAGATTTCAGTCAGCACGCCCCCAATTTGGAGAGTCAGGCTGGAGCCCGACATGGAAGCTAAGCAATGTACTGATGTGGTGGGGACAGCAACAAAATATGTTGCCACTTTAAAAAAAATCCCACCTAAAAATATCAATATTACTTTAAGTGTACGCTATTTTTTTTTTTAGAATATTTTCACTGCTTTACGTTATCGTCAGACAGTGACTTCCAATGGGAAAATTAAGCCGTTATATTGCTGTCTTCAAAGCCAGACTCCATTGAGAAAAACAATGTTTTAACATTGCTGAACACAGGAGATGTTTGTTGATCTACCACTGCCTCAAACAGTTATTTTGTTTGCGTTATTGTGTGACGTTGGCATTTAAAAGGTTAGTTCAGATTCACCAAAGTCACACAATAACACAAAATAACTAACTGATCAAAGCATTGTTAGACCAGCAGCTCCCGTGACCAGCAAGCTAAAATTACTGTTTCTGTTAACGGAGTCTGGTGGCTTTGAAAAGAGCAGAGATGGGGAAGTGGTTACGGATTTCCTGTTGGCACAGGTAGCCTGATGAAAAGATAAAGCTGTGAGAATACTCTCAATATAGTGTACACTTAATCTGGTATAATTTTTTTTTTAGGTAAAATATGTTTTGTTGCTGGCCCCCATCCACATTATTTCATATCTTGCCTTAAGTGTTGGGCTCCAGCCTGCTTTGTCAGACTTGGGGGGGTGTTGACTGACATCTACTGTATGGAATACTTTAGCTATGGAGAAGTACCTCATACAAACCCATCTCCAAAAATTCAAACTATCTCTTTAAGTTACTTGTTAATTTATCATCATATTCCTGTTTCCGTTTTGATACCAGGTAATCCAGGTGAAGTTTGATAAGTTCGTCTTGGAGGCTGACACCTATTGTCGGTTTGACTATGTGGCATTCTTTAACGGCGGAGAGAGAGATGATTCACGGCTGATTGGAAAATACTGTGGTGATCGGGCCCCACAGTAAGTGACAGAAATCTCTAAAGCTCTTTGTTGGCCTTCAAAGTTATTTTAAATCAACTACTCTAAACTTTCCAAATCTTTTTCAATTTGTCTCTTGTCCAGGCCCATCATAACCAGTGGCAACGTGCTTCTGGTCCAATTTGTGTCTGACCTCAGTGTGACATCTGATGGATTCCTCGCCCACTATAGCAGCGTCCCACATGGTACTGAGATACCAACAGTCAACTCAGGAGCCGGTACGAGGTCCATTCCTCCAAAACCTGCAGTCAAACCTGTTGCACCTAAACGTCCTGCTGTCACTGCAAAGCCACCTACTCCCACTGCTAGATATGTGCCACCTGAGCCCACCCAGAACCCCAAACCACTTAAACCCACAAGAGGCCGTGGACAGGGTACCACAGGGCAGGACAGGAGGCCGCCTGTCACAAGACCAAACGGAAAGAGGCCTGGTGGGTGAAATTATGTGCATGCTGTGCTTGTGTTTCAGTGCGCAGAAGATGTATATCTAATGTACATTTTATGTTTTATGTTTTCAGTCGCTCAAAATCCTCTTTGTGCCAAAGCCTGTAAAAGAGATGGAACCATCAAGACCAGTTTCTGTGCCAGTGAATTTGGTATGTTTCCAACCGTTTACACATACAAGTGACCAATCAGATGTGTGTTCTGACCGAGCTCTCCTTTTTCCAGTGTTAACTGGGAAGGTGTCTTCTCTGAGCCCCGGGCCCCGCGGCACTCTCCATATTAGTATCTCCCTCATCAAGGCCTACAAGGCAGGTCGACTAACAATCACACAAGTGGGAGAGACCATGTCAGTTAAGCTGGTGTCACAGTGCAAGAAGTGCCCATTACTCCGCAGAGGTATTTACACACACACATACATCACAGATTGCCATTTACATTTACTCACAAATATAATACTGATCTTTCTGGTCCCTTTTTCCTTTCTGCTAGGTGCCAACTACATTATCATGGGTCAGGTGGATGACGAAGGACGTGGTACCCTGGCACCCGGTGCATTCACAGCTCCATACAAAGCCCCACATCACAGGTTATTAACGAATATCCAGAACCAACCCTGTTAGCCTCACACTGTGAAGGACGGGAAATTCAGATGACATATCAAACCCAAAAATCCAGACATTACAATGTGAAATGCAGATCTATTAAAGCACAATATTACATGAAAACATAATTACAGCTTTACCCACCAATTTAAAGGAATGCAAATGCTTTTATTCAAACATCTGCCAAACCCAATGTTTATAATTTATATACGAATAAAGGTTTTATATCTCTTTCAAATGGTGTGACTGTGTTCTTGGTTCTTATTCAGCTCTGGCTTTCTCTCCAACAGTGCCTCTGATTCCACCCAGTGGATATGATCGGCAATAGCATGCAAGCCTATTGCTAACTCTAACTAACTTCTTCCAAAGCAGGCGGATATATACAATCCTGTGGCATGAGTTGACCATTAGTCATCAAGTGGTCAAGTCTTACATGGAGAATAATGACCCGAGATTGTTTGCTTGAGTTTTTTTTTTTTTTATTATTATGCTCATGTAGTTAGAGGTAAAATGAGAACAGTGAAATGTCTAAAATTTCCTATGATGACATTGTGTTATTAGATCTCAACTTCCAGAGCTGTCCTTTATTTGATATCTATTGTGACCTGATGACCTGTTCAGGATGGTCTGGGATCAGCTCTATGTCATTCAGAAAAAAATAAGCAGATGAAGAAAATGAATACATAAATGAACTGATTGTGAATGTCCACACTGAAAGAAAAATTAAAACCTGAATACTACAAAGTAAAACAGTTACAAGTCCTGCATTTTACTTATTGCTCTACTGCTAATTAGCAATACTATTCCAGCTATAAATAATATCAAATTATGTGAATCTTTTATTATAAAGATACACCTAATTGGATAAACAAAGATGTCAAATACTGTGTCAATACACACATGTGAATATTATTTCAAAAATATGTAGATTAATCACGCTTAACACTTATCTGCTGAACAAACACAAAGGGCCAGACTCCAGCACACACAACAATGATTAATTAGTGAAAGTCATCTGGAGATACCACAGACTGAAGGCATTTTTATGAAGTAGGTTCAAAGTCAAGATTTCCTGCTTTGCTTGATGCCATTGATATAGAGCCTGCATTTACCCTCTGAGTCAATGTACAGTTTTTTAGAAAGGGCAAAAATCTGCAGTTCCTGTCAGTCTCCAATAGAGGTAGATGAAGGTCAAAAATAAATTTAGACTCCTTTGTTTTAAGTCATTCTTTGATACGAACATCAGTTATTTGGTCTGACTTGAAATGTATTGAGATGTATTAATACTTATAAACAAATATGAACATATTTTTAGGTATTTAAACAAACTACTAATTCAAACAACGTTAAGAACATATCAATTAACAGATGAAGTGTAAAAGTCAGAATGAATTATGCGCAAGACCCTGTGATGTCTTTGCTAATACATACACAGTGAGCTTGCTGCTTTTAAGAAGAACTCAAATGGCCAATGTGAGTACAGAGATGATAACCTATGAACCAGATAGCATATGTACCTACTGCGTATGCCAGGAACATAATCACCTAGACTATTTCACAATGGGGGTGGGTGGAGGATTTTCAATCAACACCTTCTGCAACCCAACCCTCCAGAGGGATCTAAGGGGAAAAAAAGATTAGGCTAGGGTTCTCAAAGTTTTGATAACTGAGTGCCATTCAAAGGGGCCAGCATATGATTGAAGGCCACAGGGTAAAAGTGCACACAGTATGGCCTTCTATTATCAATCTAATGTACCAGCGCAAATATGAGTGCAGAAATCTTCTTGGGATAGGGTTCCCATGTGATTCATGAGTTCTTATCTCACTGATAACAGCACAGGAGTGATGGGGCATTGATAAATGTGTCAGCTGGAAACAATTATCATTTACATATCCCGCCCCAATATATTCTGGGTTCAGAGGCCTTGCCCGGAGAATTTACGACATGGAGAGGCTTCAATTATGGCCGAGAAGAGGCATTTCTTTGAGCTAGAAATGGAAAGGCTGACATCCCAGGTCCAATTTAACCAACTGGTTCTATTTGGCAGCCTGAAGGAAGTCAGAAAAATGTAGTATGGAAAGAAATCACTGCTGTGGTGAGCAGCGTTGCAGTGGACATCAAACTGCAGCTGAGGTTTGAATATTTAATTTACACATCCATGATATGTACCAACCTATAACCTACATATATTAATAAAATAGCCTATATTATATAATAGTATTTTGCTTTAATAGCATATTCATATAAAAGCTTATAATTGACCCAGAGTGAGAAGCTTGTGGCATGTTGGGTCTGCTTCCATTTCAGGTGTAAAAAGTAGCTGAGGAGACACAGACGCACAGCCCATAGGTTACTTGTATTTAAATATTTACACTGTTGCAGGTTTAATTATTTCTTTTTATTGATGTTTTAATGATAATTGATCTAAACATGCTTTGCTTTGTCAGTGCTTAATAAGTTTTAAATAAATTAGGGGCAGGCACCAGCAGTGTTCATCCTTTAGTCAGCCTGGAATCAGTCCCACAGAGCCAGGCAACTGCCAGCTGTGATAGACAGCGTCCATGTGGTGGTCATACACTTTTCAGGTGATAAATATGTGGCTGCAAACACTTAGATGCCTGTCAGAATATGGTCTAATATCAATTCTCCACCTCAGCCAGATTTACTGCTGCACCGTAAGTCCATGCTGACTCAAACTTGTGTACGGCAGCTGAGACCTGATGGAGATTTGATCGTAGCCTCTGCTTATATGCATACTGATAAATGCTGAGCATTGCATGGAAATAACAAGTACCAGATTTCTGTTGTATGTTCATTTAATAAATCAGGGCCCATGACTTTTTTATGACTTTTATGTGACATATACTCTGACATTTTTATGACTTTTTTATGACATGTCTTATGACTTACAACACTTAAAAAAAACTCTCACAGTTAACAGTGATAGCCTACATAACAATCATATTACATTGTTGTTTGCCATGTTTTTAATAGACTTGAAAGTAATTAAATAGAGACACAGTACAGTGTTTTTAATTGATTGTATCTACCCACAGCAGATGAGCAACAGCTACTGCTGGGGTACTGTACCACTACTTGCTCAAACACAGAACTGTGGTACATCGTAATATTATAGCTCGTTGTAATAATAATGGCTATTTGTTTATTTATTATAATGATTACATTAGCTTATGATTAATACAGATGGTTGGTGCGTGGTTGCCTTTCGTAGCGTAGCAAATAAATACTGCCCAGGCCTACGCCTTGAAGACTGACTGTAGCTTGTAACTAGTTTGGACACTACAGGCAACATGTGTTTGGCAGCTGGAGAACAGCTGAAAAACATTGTCCCATGAAGGTCTGTGGAACAGCAGAACAAGAAGAAACATGCTTTGCCTTTACATCCTGATGACTTTGATCACTGCAATCCAAATCCACACACTTACAATAATGTTGCCTCTGAAAGTTTGCATGGGACATAAAATGCACTTTAGACTTTAAACTTCACCTCCTTTTATTAAAGGGGAACATCACCCAAATTAAGGATTCCAATATTTTATTTCCACAGCCTAGAAAAGTCCAATCAACATTTGTGAACATGAGCTACTCTCAAAGCCAGGAACCAGAGAAGTAAGTCTCAAACTTGTAATGCCATAGGGTATAAAGTCTGGAGCTGCTCCATAGACAATAAATGGGAGACTGATTTTATGGATCACAGAATGTTTTTCTTGTTTATACCCTGAGCTTTATTGTATTGTGGTGTTCTGGAAACAGAAAATCTACCCATATAGACCATATCATCCTGACTTCACACTAACAACAATCACTTCTAGGTAGAAAAACAAATGATTTCAATCGCAGAGATACATAACATCAGCAGACTTATCTAATTCTGTTGTCATTTTCAGCTCTAACTTTTGAAGATATATAGTTAAACACTGTGGTCCAACCTGTCTGATGTTTCTGCTGTGCTGCTGTGCCAAATGTATTTTAGCTGTGTTAAAAAATCAATACCAGTCTAAGTTTATGCTATATATATATATATATATCTATATATATATATATATATATATGTGAACATTCACTCTGCTTCACCTTACACACTAACCAATCAAGGCCACAGTAGACCAGCAACTAATCAGGGCAGCATTTGCTCTGGGCTGTTTGATTTTTCTTTACCTGACACAAGGATTTTCTGCCTGGAAGATGTTGTGAATAAACATTGTGATTCAATCTATACTGAGAACATTCCCCTAGGTGCTCTCAGTGTCATCTATAGCATGTTTGCATCTAGCATGTATTGTCTTCAAAGCAGCTCCAAACTTTATAACTTATGACATCACATTTGAGTGATGATTGAGTGAGATTCTGGATTTGGGAGAGAGTTGTTCAAATATTTTTGGACTATCTAAGAGCATAGGACATGTTTGAGTTTTGAAAATGTGTAGTTCCCCTTTGAATAAAGTTCACAGTTTGTCCTGTTTCAGCTTGCAGATGTCAAACATAAAGCTCGGCAGGTTGAGTGACACTTTATTGTAAAAAGGTATAAAATACATTCAATATATTGAACTTGTATAAAAAAAAAGCAATACTGACGTACAAACAATCACTATAAATGATGACATTTGATGGCTTTTTACAATGGCTTTAGCAATAGAAATAGAAATAGAAATACAGTGGCAATTTGCATTAGAGCCAAACTCCAACAACCCAACTCTCATCAATAAACAGAGATACATATTACACCAAATACAATCCTCCTCTCCTACACCCACACGCTCCCCTTCCCCTCTCTCTCTCCACCTCCCTGCCCTCCACAACAGCCTCCTGAATCACCTCTCCGTTGGCGTGAAGCGGGCAGGTTCTTGTAGACGGCGCGGCTGTAAGGGATGAAACACATTCCCAGCTGGAGATGTCGGGCTAGGCGACAGAAGGCGGCGAGTGCCAGGACTAGCAGAGGGGTGAGCAGCAGGAAGCCCACGACCAGCAGAGCCACACAGCCGGCATCATCCAGTATGTCTGAGCAATACAGGGACGTTCCATGGGGCTGCACCTGGAGAACAGGAGGAGGGAATGGATCAGTAATAGCATGGATGCAAGGAGTTTGTTTAGAGGACATTCACACACACATGCACAGCAACCTCAAGTTCTTCAGTATGTTCCCATTGGAGAAATGACTTATTTAGTATATGCAAAGTCAGTATGCACGGCATATGCTGGATTTCTTTAGTGTGCTGTTAGGTTACAGTGCTGTCCCACAGCGCATTGCACAAAGGAACTTGAGCAGTTTAGTCACAGCTGCAAAAAATTAAAATTAAGCTCCAGGAAAATCCAGTAAGATTTTGGGAAACAGTATCAAATATCTGGAAAAACATTTTTGTTTCTCTGTGTGTAGTTTGATTGAAAACCACAGTTTGATTGACAGTCGATATCATTTCCTGTTACTACAAAAGATTTCTTGGAACCTCTCATACTTCTGTCAATCAGTCAAAAAAAAGATTTCAACAAGGGATTGTTACCGTGGAGTGGCAAAGGAAGCCGAATATGATCATGGCGAGAGCAGGGGTGAGGATGATGCCAAAAATGATGGTGGCCAGCCCACCGTTGATCAGTGCTATGATCATATTCTGTGCAGTGACCAGCACAGAGCATGCCCAGCAGTCTAGAGAGCCCCTTAACTCCAGTGGGGGTTCAGCAGCAGCTTCGCTGCCACCCATTGAGTATGGAGGCGGCACAACGACCCCTGACCCCGCTCTGGAGGGGGAGCCCAGCTCAGAGTGGCCCTGCTCGGACATTGTCTTCTCCAGCGTCCCATTCCGTGACAGACTCATCTTTCTTGTGGTCAGTGCTGCAAGAAAGAGAAATAGTTTCAGTCCAGTGATTCCATTAATGTACCTAGTGGTTTGAATGTAACCCTGCTGATAGAACTGAAAATCTGCTTAAACTGAATTTGTGTCTTACAATATTGAGATGAAGCTTATTTATCAGAGTGTGCCAAGTATTTTAAGTGTCTGTTGAAAAATGATATCAAACTGTTTTTTCTGTTGTGCTAAAATCTCTTCCATGTATGCCGTGAATTCTTCAGTAAATCCACTAAAATCATGGAAAGCCAAAGAATGTTAATCCATTAAGTAATGGGTTCCATAATGTGGTGAAAGGTGTGGAAAGTCAACACAGATAACTGCACAGCCCTAAGTGCGAGGAAATGGGCTCCACTGACCACACCTCCAAACTCAAGGATAACCACGGCCCAGAACAATGAGCTAGGAACAGCTGGAAAATTCTGAAAAACCCCACGGATCACTAATCAGCGTGTCAGAACAATATTATGACTTTAATTCTGAAAGAACAAATGCCATGTACAACTTTGCTTACACATTAATTGTAGATGGAGTGCAAGCTTTTATTTTCATGTCTCTTTTCACTTTTATTTTGTAAACTCAGTGATGAGAAAATGACAGGGACGAGTTCACCATTTCCCTCTGCGCTCAAGTGTGTTAGCAGCTACTATTATTATGCCAAGAATCATGTGAACACATGGGCTTACAAGCAATATTTTAGTTTTGTTCTGTCTGTCAGCATCATTTTAAATAAATTACAGTTCACCAAATTCGTACGCCCCTTCCGTCATCAGCTCATTTGTTTGTGATGCTGTGATGCAGCTTGTTTGATTGGACACATAGCAATAAAAATCTGAAAATTCAGACTTTTATAGCTTTTCCAACAATCCTGTAGCAGAGGAACCTTTTTTGATTTGCTTTCATTTTCAAGGGGTTCTGTTTGTGAGTGTTTGTAAAGTCTGTCTCCAGTCAATCATAGGGCAGCTCAAACACTTGCCTTTTGATGATGTCATCAATACAGCCTCCTTATTTTTAGATTGATCCACTTCAGAAATCAAACTAACTCTTCAGAACCATGGGAATCAAATTAGTGAAGAAACGTAATTAGAGAGTTTCATTAGAATGATGCACTGCATTCATCCGATTAAACTGAGCCCCATGTTGGGATCAGGATTAACATTTTACTATTTTTTCCAGCGTGGTTTCATTAAAAAAGAAATAGTGATAGGGTTTTTTGTACTCACTGTGTGGTAAACCTCCTCCTGAAGCTTGACTGTGGCAGCAGATGATGGCACTGTGAAAGACCTGGAGAGCGGTGAGCGGTCAGAGACAAAGAGAATTTCAAGAATTTCCTCCTGATATATGTCTTTTCTGTTTGAAAATCCAGATCTTGAAAGCGGTATCCAAGTGGATTTTCTACTACCTAACTAAATCTAAAATCCTCTTGTATGTTGGACTATTTCCAAAAATATCATCAGATATTTAAGAACTTTTATAAATCCAAACTTCCTCCTCAGACCTCCTGTAGAGTGGGTCAGAAAAGAGCTGAACAGACTTGAGGCAAATTCTGCTTTCCCACTGGCTTCAGTGCTTCCTTCCCTGACATTCTGTTTCCTCACTCGACTCCAGTTTGAGATATGATTGAGTGGTTGTGAGTGTGTGCGAGTGTGTGTGAGTGCGTATCCTGTGTTGCCTCTGATGCAAATGCCCAGAAAGCAGGCTGGGCTGTGTTAAAGGCTGCTGTTAGTGTCTTGGCAGGGGAGCAGCTGAGGGTTTCTGTGATAACCCCTCGATTCAGGGGGAGGGAGGAAGAGTGTTTATTTGGATAGATTAGAGGAGTCAGGGTATGCTGCCCAATACACAACACTTTACACCCGCACTGAACACTCTCTCTACTCCACTGTCAAATACTGATAAGGTGGGTTTCAAAACTCGAAACAACAGAACTGCTTTTATATTGACTTTCATGCTGAATAAAAACTCATAAACTTCCAGTAAATCATTGTTGTGTCTTTAGTTGGACTGTTACATAAGATGTAGGCCATACTATACTGTGCTGAGGTTGTGAGCACTGAGACATTATTATGTTGTATGTAGCAGATATGATACAACTTTATGTGTCTTTACATTTCAATAATGCTGTGATTAACAAAATTAACAAAAGCCACTTTGTTAGGGTTAGGAAGAGATCATGGTTTTGCCTTAAAATACTTGGTTTTCCTGGCACTATTCTGGCAGGAAATGCAGTGATGTCCCAGGAAAAAATAATCCAACTTCATGGCACTAACCTGGCTGGTAATGCAACGATGTCTTATTAAAAGACAAGCACTTTTTGTGGTGCTATCCTGTCAGGAAACGCAGCAGAATCTCAATAAAAAACAAGCACTTTTGCACTTCAGGCTGGAAATGCAGGTACGTCTCAGGAAAAACCAGTATCCTATTATGTGACAGCACTTTTCATTGCACTATTCAGGCTGGGAACGCACAGATGTCCTTTATTAGCACTATCCCGACAGTAAACACAGAAATGTCTCAGTAAAAACAATTGCTTTTCATGGCACTATTCAGGCTGGAAATGCAGCCATTAAAAACTATTACCCTATTACATTACGCAACCATGTCTTGCTAAAAAAACAATCTCTTTTTGTGGTGCCTACCTGTCAGGAAATGCAGCTTTGTCCTGATGCCCTCCTGGCAAGAAATGCAGTGATGTAGTGGTAAAAAAACAATAGCTTTTGTGGCACTATCCTGGCTGAAGACACAGCAGTGTCTCAGTAAAATAAACAACTGCTTTTTGTGGCACTAGCCTAGAAGGAATCACAGCGATGCCTCAGTAAAAAGAACTGCCTTTCATGGGGTCACTGAAAAGCACCCTTTTCTTTTGTTTGTTGGCCTTGAACAGTGGTCTGAAGGGGTCTGCAACCTGACAGGTGTCTCGCCTAGGTGACACGTCATCCACCGTCCCCTCCACCTATTGATGGCAAAATCAGCCATGTCACTTTAGAAATGTTGATGTGAAACATAGATACATAATGAAATATATCTCTGGTTTGCTGCAATGTACAATGTCAACATTTCCTTCTGCTGACTGGGCTGAGACAGCACTTTTAGACTACTCCAAAAGCACAGAGCTCTGAAACAAAAAGGTGAGGGCCAAGGCAGAGTTTCTCTAGATTGTCTCAGAGGCTGGAATGACAGAAGATTGGCCCTTGACCTTTTTGACAAAAAACAGAGCTTGGCTCTCAGAAAACACAAGGAAATGAGGAAGGGGGTGGGGTAGAGGGGGGTGGGCACTGACTAATTTGGTGGAGAAAAGAGGCTGCCATGGGACTGATAAGAAACCAGAGGGGCTCAGTTCAAAGGGTGAAATTGGTATTTTGATATGAAGTCTCATTTTTTCTCATCATTTTGTTTATTTCTTCACAGGGGTAGGGTAGGGGGTACTCCCTGGAGAGAATAAGGGCATTTTACCAGCTACGAGGAAAAATGAACAAAGAGTCTGTGAATGTACTGGCTAAAAAAATGCAGGAACACTGGGTGGTTTTGTCATTAACAATGCCACAGAGTGTACTGTTTATATGCGTATGTCAAAGTCTGGGGGGGTTGGTAGAGGAAGAGCACTCTTCCTGTCCTTGGAACCGGGATATCCGCCTCTGTGTCCACGTTCCATGACATGTCCCTGCATCTGCAGTTTTAGTAATCTTGTGTCCTTTAACCCTGGAGACTGTAGAAACAAAATGGCAAAAATAGCAACCAGAAAGAAAAACCTCTATTATGCTCATAGAAAGGAATCAAGACAGTCTGATTCCATGTGTGGCCCTGACTATTGTTGCTATCTGTTGTTTTAAAATGGTAAAAAATACATGTCATGTGTCATGTTATTTTAGTTTATACCCTGATTTATATCATTGACAGTATATTAGCTGTCTGTACAGCTTGTTCATATAATCTAGGCCACACTTCTACCAAAAAAAAGGAAAAAGAAAAACAGAGATTTCATGAGTTTGATAATATCATTATTTACATAACTTTCTGTTACTTGGATTACTATATTTCCAAACTAAATGGAGAGGCTGTAGCTTTGACAAAATTATATCAGTGAAATTTTGGAGGGAAAAATAAATTAATTTTGCTCTTTCCTCCCTCAAAATCAACTGTGGAGCTTTAAACAAACTGGTCCAGTGGAACCACCCAGTGGCCATCAGCTGCAAACTAGGACTGAAGGGCAGCTGCAACATATCAGTGTTTGAACTATGAGAGCAAGGAGCCACGAACCGTCAGCTCACTATGACTCACCCAGTACGCCTACGCATGTATTTGCACTGTTAGATTTATATGACAATAATAAGATTAAAAGGACAGTTCCTCCCCAAATCAGAGCTTTCTTATCAGTCTTGATTGTTTTGGTGTGAGTTATCAAGTGTCAGAGATATTGGACGTAGAGATGTCTGCCCTCTCTCCAGTATAATGGAACTAGAAGGCACTACATAGCTTTATGTGCTAAAAGCGCCCCCCAAAAAATACATATGAAAATTTAAACAGCAATGTCTCTTCCCAGAAATCATGACCTGGTTACACAAGACAATCAGACCTGTTGTGAGCAGTTTCATGTAGGAACTATTTTTTTTCTACACCCACCAATTGTATCACCGCGCAGAGGGAAGCATGCATTCATTGCTAGCTCACCTTGTACCTCTGAGCTAGCTAACGTTAGATCTTAGCCAAGGATGCCACTCATGCTGTCATGAGCACGAGCCTCTCATCCATGATCAGTGGTGTAGTTGGCAGTGTTTGTGGAAACCCACTTTATTACACAGAGCTTGTGCACAATACAGGTGTAAAGTATGCAAGGCTCGCTGTTGTATGGTGACACACTTTTCAGTATGCCGACTACAACAAGACTAATTGTCTACAGCCATGCTAGCAGCTCTGTGAGGCTGTACTTAGGCACAGGAGCCTAGTGCTATGAGCTAAATGCTAACGTACTAATGCTAAGCAGGTGCATTAACCATGATCACCATTTTAGTTTAGTGTGTAAGCATGTTAACGATAGCAAATTAGCAAGGTACAGCTGAGGCTGATGGTAAAAGACTGCTGCAGGGATGACCTTTTTTTTTTTGTAGGCCAACGAGGAAGTTAGCGTTTCACTTGTTCCCTCATTAAAAAGCCTGTCAGGTTTTCCCACTGAATACTATCTTTGTTGGGCAGGATAATCTTCTTTAATTAACACCACTTTTATGATTTTGAAGTTTAAATGTAATCCCCAGAGGTAAAATGCTAATGTTAGGCTATAAACAAAGTACACCACGGTTACATGACATAACGTCGCCACCACAACAAGGCTGTCAAGTTGTGTTCAGGGTACGTACTGTGGTCTCATTAAGCCATTTGTTAGCAACTGCCATTTTAAAGACACCGAAAGGCTTCAAAATTCACAAGCAGGGTATTTACTGTCGTAGAGCAAAACATGAAAATCTAAAGCTTGTGTTAACCACAGACCTTATTTCAGGCATCTCCCCAAAAGCCCATTCAAAAAAACTCATTGTCTTCGAAATGAGAAAAGCAGGAATACAAAAATGCAAACTCATATCTGGGTTTTTAGGCCTCATTGCTGCAGCACTTGCCACTCAATTTTAAAATTGAAATTCTGACCAGATGATGGTGCTACATTTAAAGTCAGTGAAAGAGAAAGGTTAGGGGATTACCAAAGTCAAAGGATTCATTCTCTGGGATCTATGGATATTCGGGCCAAATTTAATGGCAATCCATCCTATAGTTGTTGAGATGTTTAAGTTTTGGCCAGTCCCCAGCTGGCCAAAACGCCATGCTGCTAGCATAGCTGAAATAAGGGCCTTATAAGGGCCACATAATAAACCTATGTCTTCATAAATCTGCCTCTCTGCAAGATAGATGACTCAAATAATGGTTTTATATTTAAACTGAGTTAATCATAACAGTATCAAACCTGATTTAACCTGGAAGACACTGCCTATCAAGTACTTAGTTGGAACTGAATACAGCTTTCTTAGAAAACATGTAAAATTGTACTGAATCATGCAGTAGCCTAAAGGTTTTTCCAGTGATACAGTGAAAAGAAAGACATTTTTCTCGCATTCCATTCTTCGTTCTCAAGAGCTGATAACAGCTACAACTCGTATCCGTTCTATCACTTTGGACATACAGAGAGAACATGCCTGAATACCTGCAATAGGACTGAATCAATCAAACTCTAAACACCAGAAGGCAACTAATGAGACTGCAGAGAGGAAACCAAAGGCTAAGACTCGTTGTTGAATAATTTATCAAAACATTTTATTTTCTCGAACAACAATACAATATATCACAGAAAAATCACAGAGGGATTTAAGACAGGTCTGGCTCAGGTTTTCTTCTATGTGAGTTCTTTTTGAAAACAATAAGTGCAGCATAAATCAAACAAGTCAAGAGTAAAAAGAGCATCATTACTTCCTTCAAATAATACCAATAATGAGGACAAGACACACACACAAAAAAACCGAAACCTCGACGTCATTAAAAGTCACATCCCTAAAAGTCTCTGCAAAAGTGTCAAGAATTACAACTACTGCTAATGCTCATCATAAAACCACTAATGCCTCACAAGATTATGAATTTCATACAATGGAAAAAACGTTTTTAAAAGATCCTGTAAGATCTGTTAGATACAGTACAAAGACATCATTCCATTTCTGTTACCAGCAAACTGTGTTGAAATGGTTCTAAGCACCAACTGGTTGGTTTGAGTTGTATCACTGACATACTGTATGTTCATACATCATTATATGCTGTTTAATGAGGGGGCACTGAGGCAAGGAGGGGTCTAGCACCATGAAAATTAAACTGCCCCCTGATTGCACTTCCCCTATCCACATATTATGACCAAACTACATTTTTAAAATACCTTGTAGCCCCTTATCAAGTGAAGTACCCTTTGATATGCAATAAATATATAAGAAAACAACCATGTACAGTATAAATAATGTCACAATTTACAATTTTCCATTTTCTCTGTAATCCAAAAAACAGAAACTGACAACAAAAAGAGGTATAAAAGTGGGAAGAAGTTCCCATTGCAGTAATTTAAACTAGAGTGAAACAGGATATTTTTTAGGGTGTATTATAATACAGCAACAACGAAAACAAATGACTGAGGTGGACAAATCTGACCATATACAAATTAGATTTTTGATTGAGAACAAAACTACGCAACTGTCCTAGTAAACCTGAAAACAGATACATTATGTACAGTAAATGGTGTGCACAGAGGGTGGGGCTGAAAGTGGATAGTCGTCATTTGTGGAAAGTTTAATTATTTGATTATACAGCGGTAATGCTGAACCTCTATTCAAATGATAGAGGATAGGCCCAACCAACTCACTGCATGTGAATACAGTCCGCTGCAGTAAGTGATAATCAAATGTTACGTAGGAAGTAAAGTTTTAACATATGAAGCCAAAGGTCGTGTAGCCTTAGCGAAATGAGACCCTTTATTGTGAAGGACTGTCTAAATGTTGGGAAAATAAAAATAAAAACTTCTCTTGTCATGACTCAATTCATGTGCTCTTTAGCAAGGTAAATTAGAAATACAGTATATTAAACCCCTCTTGCAGTGCATGGTGCCTCATCAGCAGTGGCGTCCCCAGAATTTTTTTCTACGGGTGGCCATATGGGGCCATTGAAAATCTTGAGGTGGCAAACCAAAACCAAAATCCAAAATTGAATTTCAGGTATTCAGGTATGTTATGCTGTTGAAGTATATACTCAATTTGAAAACAATGTCAAAGTCAGTGTTGGGCAGTAATAATATTACTTTTTCCAGTACCCAATAACCCATTTTCATTTAGATCTGAAGTTGACAGTTCAAGGGACCCATTTCAAAAATGGCCATGCCAGTTGTTCCTTGGCCAAAATCTAGCCTAAATCTCGAGCATTATTTACCCTTCTTCTCGACAAACTATGCTGACATGGTTGGTATCAATGGATGCCTTAGGTTGTCTAGTTTCACAAGATACCATTACTGTCACACTAGCATAAAAATCAGAGTGCCTCAGACAGTAATGTCGGCCTCCCATTGTATTTGCCAGTGGAGGCCAAAGCCCCCCCCACTCCCCCCCTTGGGGGCGCCACTGCTCATCAGGATGGATGTTTGGGGCAAAATGAAAACACTGAGGTGCCATTCAGTCTGATTATCTATTTGGCCTCATTGGCTTTTGCATTAAAAGATTATGATTGTGTGTCTCTTTGGACATATTACGTTTTACAGACTGTAATTGGCACCTCATTAACAATAACATTAAATGGTAACTTCGGCCCCTCTGTACCCCGTCTACGCACACCACTGTGTATTTCTATAAATTCATTCACAATTTACAGTTATTTATTTTCTCTGTCATCTAGAAACAAGAACATAGCAACAAAAGAGGTATAAAACTGGGATTGTTCTCCCATTCCAAAAATAAAAACGACATTATGTCTGTTTTCCGTGCGTATCATAGAAACCACACCGACGACTATTTAGCTGGACTTGTGAAAAAACAAAAAAATCTAATTATTCATCTACATAGTTGATTTCCAACAAAGAATGAAACCATATTAGTCCTCTAGTAAACCCGTATTTTAGAGAAACTGATAAAAGTTTTTGATTTGTTTTTTAATACATACATAAATCCTTATTTGTGTGTTTAATCCTCTAATTACCTCTCCTCTAAATACAGTTTGCAAGGCCAATGTGGTGTACTTCTAGGCTGGTAAAACTTTCTTTAAGTATCGAACGAGAATAAATTAGATTGGAATAGCACCTCAGAGAGTATACAGACAGGAATTACAAATGTCAGAGTTTACCTGAATACCAAAAAAAAAAAAAAACAGGAACCAATACGATGCCAAATGTGACAATCAGCTACTTCTCCTGTGAAGCGATTCCCCTGCTGGTACAACAGAATCACAGCAAATTCATGGACATATAGAATAACTAGATTGGTGTAAAAAAGTTCTACTGAATTTGCATAAAAGTACCTGAATTTACACACAGAACCGGCTACTTGACGCTTTTGAATCACAGCAGTGTCCGTTGAACATATAACCTGATTTTCAGTGCTAGCAGTGCTCACATTTTTTTTTGTACATGTCTGAAATGCTTTTCGTGTGAAGTACCAGTCTAGTCATTCTATTTCAAAACACACGTCCAATCAGCAGCTGGTATGGGGAAGACAGTGAGCTATAGTTGGATTGGCTGAGTATCCATACCTTATTGTGTGATGTAAACAATACTGAGTAAACGTGATTGGCTGATTCAGAGAGTGTTTGCAGGAATAGATTGCCTTGAAGACAACATTTGTGCTGCCATTAGAGTTTTGGTTATGGCTGAAAGACACCAGGGACGAGTCCTCACTTTGAAAAGGGTGATGGAGCCTAGAGGGGAGGAAAAAGAGGAAGAGACAGAGTTCAGTTGGCATCTTGGAAAACTGTGTGTGTCTGCAGGTGAAACAATTTAAACACCACATCTACAAATATCTAATATATACAAAATACCAGAAGTGGGACCAAGTCATGGTTTGGCAAGTCACAAGTCAAGACTGACAAGCCCCAAGTCAAGAAAGGTAAGGTCTGAGTCAAAGCCCAAGTCAAGAAAGGCAAGCCCGGAGGTAAGTCCAAGTCAAGACTGACAAGTCCCATGTGAAGTCTCAAATCAAGAGCGACAAGTTCCAAGTCAAGTCCCAAGTCAAGAAAAGAAAAGTCCCGAGTCAAGGCCCAAGTCAAGACTGACAAGTCCTGAGTCAAGTCCCAAGTTAAGACTGACATATCCCAAGTCTTAAACTTTGAGTTTCAAGTCCCAAACAAGTCCTGACACACTCTTTACCAAATGTAACGGCATTTTGACATAAGAGTAATAAAGTTAGCTATGCATTTGTTTGCTATGTTAATATTAGCCTTGACTAAACGTTCTTTGTGAAACTTACAATTTGGAACAAAGTTGGAAGCTGTTGCATCTGTCATTTTTGATCCACAGGTCTTACATACTGCAAATTGTTTTTGTTTTTGTTTTTGTTTTTTTTCTAATCACGGTATGGTTTTTGTATTTGTACATTTTCTTTGTTATAAGTTTTTTTAACTGGTACTCAGTAACTTATCATTGGTTCTCTCCTACAACTTGACTGGATGCTGTTGGATTGGTTCAAACAAGGTAGATCATCTGGGGAACTATGTGTCGACTCATTGGGAATTAATTGCATCAATGTTTGTTGATTTAGGAAATGAAGAGAAATAAAATAATTTGTGGCACACTTTTTAAAGAACATACTTTTAAATCTTTGGGGGAAGGTATCAAGTATTTGCATGTCAAAAGGCTCCAGCACAAGTGAACACCACCTAAAAATCATATTTTTCCACATACTATTCTATACACTACAACAGATAGCGTTATAATGGATGATAAAAACTGATAATGTCACATATAAAAGATGTTGCTGCAGCTATCGGGTAAGGAAGCACACTAGTGGTTTTGCATGTTCCAGCATGTTAACTACACATGAACTGAAGGGGTAAAGTGGGATGAAAATCTGCTTGAGATGTGCTCCACCACAGCAAACATTTAGTTTAGATTTAATACTGCTTCGTGAAAGTTAGGTTATGGTTGTCTGAAAATGCAGCTGTGAGCAGAGGCTCAGGCCGACTTGTGTATTGTTAAAGGACGAAATGTAGTGTCTTGAATTGAAATCGTTGCTGTTTGGAAACACACTCTCAAATCTTAGATCTCATAAAAGGATAGTTCACTTTTTTTCAAGTCTGCCGTAAAAAAAGACTCTCATGCCTCTTCTATATATACACTGAGACAGTCTGCTGTTATCAGTACTGGCGGAAAAGTAATCCCTTCCTATTGAGATTCTAATGTAAGTGGTGTCAGCACAAAAAAACAGTCTGAATTAACACCAAGAATGAATTCCATACTGAAAAGACTGTAACTTTGGAACACAAGCACTTGATTTGTTTACCTGAGATCGCTGAAGCTTTATGGTAGCTTCAGCTGACCTTTAGGATTCATTTGGGTACTATAGATTTTGTCCCCCGTCACTTCCATTAGAATTAGATCTCTTCTCCACCACTATAGACAGGAGGCATTATTACACTGCCCAAAACTGTTTCAATCTGCTTTAAGGTAGACTTAAAACATGTCAACCTATCCTTAACAAAACTTATCTAAAAGCACAATAACTTTAAATGAAAAACAATCCCTGCTTGCAGCTGAACAAAGTCATAATAATGTCAGGGGGGACACAACAAATTAACATATGGGTATTCACTGTAGTGGATCTCCAATTGCAAGCAAACTTCAAGACCCTTAAAGCTGATTTTCTTTTTTTTATACTGACATGACTTGAACCAATGGGTTACTTGGCAGAGGAAGTCAAATGTTATGGCTCAGTTTGGAAAAAGTCAACAGCAATATAAAGTACAAACAAATTCTAGATAGTGGAGTAAAACATGCAAAATCACTGTTCTTTAACTCATCTGAGTTTTTGGCATATCTGGTTTTTCATTGTGCTTGCAGCCCTTCACCTTTACACTGTAGAAAAGCAACAATATATGTATAAGGTAATATATATTCCTGTTTGTACCAAGAAGCCCCTACTGTAGTATGCACTTTTAGGTGATGCTCAAGGTGGTGCAGTTAAACACACGTTGAGCGTCGCCTCACTCCCTGCCTCTGAAACTACTTTGCCGTGAAGAGAGTAGATGGATCTACTGTAGCAGCTCAAACTCAGCCAGTGCTAACCCGCTAAGGGGCCATACACATGGCATGTTTTTTGCGCCCTCAAATTCAATATTTTCAATGTAGATGCGTGGCAGGTATGCCTAAATGCCAGCTGTAAGTGCTTTGCATCTGCTCTTATAAACAGCACCTGGAAAACTTTCAGGTAAACAGGCGATGATACAGTGCTTGTTAAGGTTGCTTGGCAACCTCAGACACAACCTGCTGCCATGCTCTTGAAAGCTGGAACAAAAAAGGCACAGGAGTAGCACCCAGCGCCTGACCTCGCATTTCCCAGGCAGTTAAATGGCCCCTAAACCAGTTCCACGATCACAGTGCAGTGCAGGGTCTAACCTGTGTAACAGCAGCAACAGAAAGTTTGCTGATCTGGCAGGGAGTCAGGGTTTGTACTGGCTGAATTCAAGTTGCTCCAGAGCAAGTTTCTGCTCTTCTCCTAGCTAAGTAGTTTTACAGGAGGAAGTGAGGGGGAGGGACTATGGGGTGCAGTACGGTCTGTCTCTGAAAAATATGACAGCTTGGAAAATAGCAATATGAAGCACTGAATTTGACAAATTTGAATTTCTGCATTTTTATGGGTCCCACTGCTTTTCTTGCCAAGTCAGGACCTATGAAGCCACTCCCCCCCAAAAAGAGTCCACAGCTCCACATACAGGGGTATTGCAACATTGGAGAAAAGCCAACAGAGGGCCCTGGGCTGTGTGCAAGAAATCCACCAACTTCCTGCCCTCCCTCTGGTTCTGTGGAGGAGCTGAGCACAGCATGGGTCAGTGGGGATTGCTGGAGGCTTCTTAGGGGCTGTATGATAGAGCCAGGCGGAGGGGAGACTAGCCAGGGCCCTTGGAACATGTTGGAGGCAAGTTCAGGGGTGTGTGGACAATGGAGGACAGCTGAGAGCAGGCACTTGGCTGCGGGCAAAGAACCCTGAGACCTCCTGCCCTGTGTCGGGTTCTCTAACATGTCCTGTAGGCCCTGGCTCTCCTTTTACCTGCTATTACTGCCTCTCCAGCCCTGGTTAAAGCCTCTAGCTCGCCCCACTGCTCCAGGCTGTGCTCTGCTCGTCCACCAGAGAACCAAGAGATCTTTCTCAGCTGTCAGGTGGTGCCATTAAGTAAGTCAGATGAGAACGGTAGCACTCAATATGGGCGGTTTCAAATGTTTGACTCCACCCACGTTGAGTGGAATTGCACACTGCAGTGAAGGGCACTTGTGTGTGCCTGGTCTAGCCTCAGACCCTTTCTCAAAAGTACTGTTGGTTTACAAGATTAGAAAGTGAGACTGACCAGTGTGAAGGTGTCGTACGTTCTCATCAGCTCCTCCATCCGATACTGTTCCAGCACCACTACTCCAACCAGTGTTGGGTTCTTAGCTCGGGCACAGTCCTCACAGTGCACCACGTAGCACTTCTTACTGCTGTTCTCACTGGTCACAAACAGCAGGTCAAACACCTCCACCTGCACACACACAGTGTTCACATGTCTGTAAGTTATCACCACTTACACATATTTTTCTGTATGGACAGACAGCGAGGCCAGGGGAAGAGGGACTCACGTCACACTCGTTGCAGTAATAGGCTGGCTCGTCCTTCACACGACTCTGGTAACAGATCTTCTTCCCTGCAGCCACCAGCTGGTCTCTCAGAATCTGGATGTGCTTGATGGACTGCATCAGGCAGTGTCTGAAGGAGACAGAGGAAGAGTTAGTGAAAGATGTAAACAAACACACACAAACACATGGGGACACGCATGAAGAGACATCTCACTTGATCATCTTGTAGGTATCCTGGTCAGTGATCTTGATGGTGCGAGCCACATTCCAGGAAACATGGATCATGGGAACTATTGACTTAACTTTCTTCACCTCGTTCCACTCATAGCGCTCCAGGGCGAGTTGATATTGGTACGCTGGGTGAGAAAAAAACACAAACAGTGGTGAACCTGAGAGCAGGCAAATTAAACAGCGTGTTTAAGTTGTAATTTGACACAAAGAACAACACCTGACTGGGGATACTTTGCTGATTTTAAACCAGCTTTGTGTCATAACAATGGTGGTATAATGTGTAAATGAGCTATGTTAATTTAAACTTCCCTTCATCTTCCCGGTGCCCAGATCTCACTGCTCATTTGTGTCCTTTGGCACATTTTCGCTGGCTCTAGCTAGGGCTGTTGCTCGAACTACAAATTGTACTTCTGCATTTTTGTATGCCCGCCACCACAGACCCAAGGATTATGAGAGAGAATAAAGAGAGCATAACCCCTCTCTCTCGATTTGCTTTCTCTCTTAAACTGAGATCAAACAGTAAAACTAGGCAGTGCTGGTCAAATATAAACCAAGATTCTGTTACTGCATTACCTAAACTGTCTTCAGAAACATATTTTAGTTCACTGTTTGAAAAAATGTATCCACTGATTAACAGACATCTCTTGTGCAATGTGATTAGGCATATGGGGAAAAAGTCTTTTGGGGCCCAATGGCATCACGTGATGGACCTGGAAGTTTTAGTTACAATGTTAAGCCACTATGTCAAATTGGCTTCAAAGTCTGGCGCACTTCCTGGAGACCCAACTGAACTACCAGACCATTTATTAGAGGAGGGTCTGGATGCTTGCTAACTACTCACTTCACTACACAACACAGTCACGTTACTACAAGACAGCCCTCCAGACATCTTTACCTAACCCTAACCATAGTGTGTCTGCAGCCACATCTAGAACTACTTAGTACCATCCCGCTGCCACAGTGTCATTGGATGGGCAACGCGTATTAAATCACCCACCAGTGGGAGCGTTTTTGGTCCATTGCGGCACAGTGCATTCTGATAGTTGTAGGTTTTCTACCTCTTGAGTAAAAGCAAATGCCACAGCCTTTATCCTCTGTTTTCTCTTGTTATATAGCCCCAATTTCAAAAGTGTTTGTGCCTTTTTACTGCATAGACAGCCAGTTTTATGAAAGGACCATCTTTCCAGCAGTGAAATACTTCTTTAAGCTTTGAGCTATTTTCTCATTTTTTGGTCCTCGTAATAACTTACAGTTGAGTGGTCCTACATTCCAGGCGATGTTGTTGCACCAGCCCACCGCCTGGACCCAGTGCACAGTCCCCGCATTAATCCACACCAGATCTCCCGGCCTCTGAATGAAGCGGTACACAGGAATGTTGGAGCTGTACAGGTCTTCCAGGACCGGCCACCAGGACCCTGTAAGGTAGTCAACTCCATGCCTGGGGGAGACAATTTGCAGCAATGCAGTTTAGGATGCACAGATATTGTGGCTGATTGCTACATCTGTTTTTAAATCTAACAGCCTCTTCACTCACTTCTCACAAAAGGTGTTGATAGCCCCCCAGTAGTGCTCATGGACAGCGAACCACTCACAGTCACCAGGCCCGATATTGATGTTGACTGAGCAGAAATTGTTGTTCTCTTGATGACCTGATGAAAGGTGCAGACAGTCAGTTTAGTCTTTAACTTGAAACATCAATCAGAGATTTACTTGTGCTTAATTGTGTTGTCAGACAAACACTGACCTGGCGTGCGGCTGCCTGGCACCTTCATGTAGAGCTGGACGGTGTTCATGCCCAGGATGGTGTGACCGACGTGACTAAGCATGTTGTTGCTGGATTCCACTCGCATGAAAGCTGGCAGCTTCAGCAGCTCTTGCAGCTGGGGCTTCCACCTTGTAAAAACACACAGCAGGTAATGTGATACAACAAGAACCCTCAGTGAGCTCAGTTTAATTGGGCAGAATTTGACCACACAATCTCACCTTTTAGGGTCGGAGAGATCAATATTGGTCCCAAATTTAATGATCTTCCCGCATGATTTCTGCTCTGAGCTGTGGAAAATGAACAAAGTCTGAGTTAAGTATTGTTAACACAGCAACAGTGAATTCTTCATACAAACAGATGCAAGTTTTGTGCTAACCTGTTGGCATGAAAAGGTTGGCCTTTGCTGAAGTTGGTAGCAGGATTGGCTTTAATCGAGGCAGGACTGCCTTTACCGGATAATGCCAGAGCAGCTTTTGTGGCGGCTGATGTGTCTGAAGACTTGGGGTGCTCTCCTTCCTCTTCATTCTCGCTCTCCTTCTCCTCCTGCAACACATCTACATGAGCTCAGCTGACAGGTTGGCCAACAGTTTGAATACATACACTGGTCACTGTCAAGTTTAACCTTGGACAAAGATTATGTGAAATATATTACTATTTACCTGCAGCATGTGTGCACTTCATTAGTTCATACACTTAACAGCTAACCAACAAAGACATTACTTTGGCAGTTTAAATACAAAGACAAGAGTGCTTCCTTTGCTATTCTATGGAAACAGTTTGAAATGAGCAGAACTGTGGTGCAAAGGGCTGAACTAACTGTGAGACTATATGTGTCAATTATAGTAACTGTACTGTGTGTGCTTTTCTCTATTGCTGCAACTACTGGACAGAATTGATTGCCATTTTCTGAAAATGGTTCCCAGTGACAACCTGGCAACTGTTCTCTCAATCCCCGTACTGTATGTTGTGCTCTTTAATATAACAGTTAGTCCCGACTGAGCATTCTGAGTGGACAGGAGGCGTTCCATGAGTGCTGATATACAATATAACAGCACTGGGACCTTTAGCTATGCATGTAACACTCTGCTTCACAGGAGTTCTGAGACATTAATTATGTTAATTAGCTGACATTAAGGGTTTTAATTTTACACTGCAAAATGAAGTATATTACCGCAAATAACATTTGAGTTAAATAACGAATGGTCAGAGGGATGGAAAGACGCCTGAATAATGAGAATAGTGCCCAGGGCTCAGTCTTGTGTTTTTCAGGTGGTTAAAGATGCAGCAAGTGTATGAACTGGTTGCTAAATAAATGAAGACACACACATATAGCCTACATGATACAGAGTAGCTGATCTGTGGTAAAGTGTAGACACATACAAAATAGTAAGCTAGTGTGCAAGAGTGTTTTGTGTGTTCCTTGGCAACAGTCCAGTCCCGGTCCAGTTGCCGCACTATTTGTGTTGGCAGAGCCAAATAAATAATCAGATAAACAAACAAATCATAACCTGTTGCTGCTTTTTACTGCTGATAAATGGTAGCTTGAAGACAGCTCGTAACAGCTTGTAGAGCATTAAAAAAAAGTATAAAAGCAGTATCACACTCAAGGTCATGCTGTTGTACTAAATATCAGCATGGCTTTGATTATCTTCATCCGACCAAATCATAGCCGTCCTCAGACAGAAATAATGACAAAATATTTGACAAAGTTAAATGCTAAAAAACAATATGAGAGGCCGTCAAGGTGGATTTGACAAACATGGAGATATTAAATGGGAGCATATTAAAGACTCCAGTAGGTGATGTTACATTGCTGGTGCAATGGCGGATCAATTTGTACCTAGTATAGTAGAAAATTCTGAGTACGAAAAAATTGTGGAGTGACACAAATCTCTCGTACTTCTCTTTTACTTGCCACTTAAGAACAAATCTGTTCGTATGTGTGGTTCTTGAATGGTGAAGGCCCAGTTTTTGATTCAATTTTAAAGATAGTTGCAAGATAGTAGTTGCAATACAGGCTGATGTAAGTCAATTAATATTGCCTTTAATCATATCCATATCCACTAAACAATAAACCATCTGTTTACACGTGTTTGCCATGAGGGAAAATGTCTACCTGTAGACTCTCCTGGAAGCTGGAGGCCTGGTACTGGGCGTATTTGGCAATGGTGGTGTGTGAGCGGCTGCTCTCGCAGGGCCATGTCTGTGCCGAACCACTGGGATCCCAGTTCTCATCAGCGGGCTGCTGAACCTGAGTCCTCACTTCCACTGCATGCTCTGCATTGGCTTCCACCAGGGATTTGGTGGAAAACAGGCCAAGGTCTCACATTGGGAAATGAAAGCAGAAAGAAGAGATAATTATTACATGAATACAAATTTAAAAACACTTGTTAATTCTTTTAATTTTTGGATTATTTTTTATTTTAGGTTTCTCAAGGCATTGGGATTTTTAAACCCCTTCAAATAGTTGTAATTCCACTTATGTTGCGTTAGTTAATTTACTTTCTGACTCTAAACTTTACTTACTTCATACAACTAAGGAGATGTAGGTATAGAAATTTGTGTACCTATACCGAACGATTGTAAAACATACACTGAAATATGCAAAAACATTCAAAGCAACGATATTCGATAGTACAGTACCTAGTACAGCTGACCAGTGGCCCAGCCATCATGTCATGGTTGAGCATACCTGGTCTGCATTCACGTATGGATTATAAGACACAAGTGTGACTATGAGGATGTGGCACTGTATTTACAGATTGTTCTCACAAAGACTGTGAAAAATGAAGCATCTATACAAGGTGGAGAAAGAGCAGGAGAGCCTATTATAGAAATGACTCCAAATTTCTCATGTCTAAAATCCCAAGTGTAAAATATCTATTCCGTGTAAAATAAACCCCACAGTGCCCCCTTCCCTATCAGTGTTTTCTCTTTCTCTGCTTCTTGCATGACAATTTTCACGAAACAATGAACAAAAGGCCCTAATTAATGGCAATGTGTTACTAATGACCAAAAACTCATTCAGTGTGAATGGAATCTGATCAGCTCTGTTGGGCTCAATACAGTAACTGGAGTGGGGTCAATTAGCTGTAATAAGTGTGATGTGTAAAGTTACTCAGACGAAGGGAGCCAGCAAGGCCTCTGATGACAGTAACTGCATTTTTGGGATCAGTGCAGAACTGAAGTAGAACTGGAGAGAAGGCGTCCCTCTTGCTTTCCAACTGCAGAGGGAATGCAGAATCACATAACGTATGAGCAATGGAATACATTTGTGCTGAAAACAAATAGTAAATACTGACAGTAGGTAGGTAACGTGTACAGTAGATCTCTTGAAATAAGGTATGAACAGGCAGCTCTCTCTGCTGCCATCGGGAAAACAATCTAAAAAGAAATTTGAGAGATTTCAAATAATGCACTGAATGTACTGTAATGGCTGTTCTCAGGCAGAATGGTGCCTTGAGCTAAATGTTAAATGCTAACGTCAGCATGCTAACATGCTCACAATGACAATGCTGACGTTATATGTTTTATAATGTTCACCATCTTCAGACCTTGTTGTGAGCACTTTCATATAGGAACTAGTTTCTGTCCACTGAACTACAACCGCTAACCACATCAGCACTCAGAAGGAAACATGCATCTACTGTTAGCTCCACTGAGCTAGCTAATATTACAGCTCAGTCGAGGAGGACGCCATTATTGTTTACATCTCTGTCATGAGCACGAGCCTTACGTCAATGAGTAGATGCACGCTTCCTTCTGTGTGGCAGTATGGCTGATGGTTGTACTTCAGTGGAAATAAAATAGCTCCAAAATGAAACTGCTCAATACAGTCTGTGGATTATTCTGAGTAACTGGGTCAGAAAGAGACATTGCTATTGAGTTTTTCAATTTTTTTTTTTTTTTTTTTTTGGTGCTTTAAGCCCCACAAGCTGAGTGCCATCCAGTTACATTATATTTGAGAGAAGTCAGACATCTCTACGGTCGGAATCTCAAACACCCTACAACTCACACCAAAACAGTTAAGAGTTTAAGAGTGATAAACAGCACTACAGGTACGAGGAAAATATGTATTTTTGATTTGGGGGTCAACTGTCCCTTTAAATGTTGCATGTGTTAGTCTGTATGTGTGTATTAGTGTGAAGCAGGGTGTGATGAATGCAAAAATGTGCACTTTTATGACTCCTTTTATGGCACTTATAAGTACAGCTGAGGCTGACAGGAATGCCATGTGTCAAGTTTTGCGAGCTTTTAGTCATAAAAGGTTCAGCTAATTAAACGTGTTGCAGCAGATGAAAAGTCAAATGATCACCGAGGTCCTTACAATTCATCTTGAGGGGAACATGAATGTCTGTACAAAATTTTCTGCCAATTTATCAGACTGACATTGAGATATTTCAATTTGGAGCAGTGTGATGGATGACCTACAGGTTGATGTTTCTATCCCTAGAACCATGGCAATAGCCAAGACAATCACCAGAGTAAATGTTTGCATTGTAAGTTTCTGCAGACCACAAATATGCTACATTTGTACGTTGCTATGTAGAGGACATGTTAAAACTTTACGTTTTATTTATATTTCAACAATATTGTGGTTAACTCATGATTTGGAAAAGATTCTGTCTTGGCTTAAAATACTCGCTTTTGGTGGCATAATGTCGGCAGCAGACGCAGTCTTGAACACTGGTCTGTAGATGACATGCCTCCACCCTCCCCTCCAACTCCAGATGACCAAGTGAGCAGCTCATATATTCCAACATTTTAGAAACGTTGATGTGATACAAATGAAATGTACAGCAATGTACAAATTTAATGGATCTGTGGATTGCAGAAACGTACAATGCCAGCATTTTCTTCTGGGCCTGGTTTGCCCCAGCGTGGCTAAAAACATAGTTTAAGGATTCAGTACCTGATGATATTTCTCAGTGGGCTGGATCATATTGACTATTCTAATTTGTGCGGACTCACGTAGATGCTTGGCGTAGGAGGGTTAAGCCTCTCTCGAGGAATTGGGATCTCTGTGGCAATGTTCGGTTTAACAGAGAAGGCAGGCAGCAGGAACGACTCCTTGAATTTCCCCTTCACCCTCGTCCCCCTGGAAAAGATGACAGAGCAATAAAAGATAAAACTCATGAAGAGGAACAATTTAGATGGAGAACCAAAACAGTTTAATGACACGCCCAGACTAGCAGTATCGTTGTCAGAGCACTCACTTGCAAGATCTGACCACTTGAGCGCCTGTGTTGTCGATACTGATCTTGGATAGAGGGATTCTTTGCTCCTCCACCTCTGATATGTTGAATGTTTGTCTTCCAGCACTCTCCACTTTAATCAAAAGGATCTTCAGTTCCTTAGACAAGCCCATGGACAATGCTTTCAGTTTCAGCGGATCAACTGGGGGTGATGAGCAGGGAGGCTTACTTGCTTGTGTAGACACACATAACTTGGATGTATTGATTGTTACAGTGGGCGCTGAGCTTGAGGTCTTGGAATTTGTGTTTCCGGCTGCTGAGGATATCTTATGTTCTAATTCACTGACATCTTCCTTCTTCTCCATTGTTATCTTTACCTCAGCATTCCCTAGATCCGCAGTTTCTTTAAGGATGTGTTTGCCACGTGGGGTTTGATTTCCCTGAGGAATCTGGCCCTTCGTACTATCGTTGAAAGGTTTGGGTGACTTCCTGGAGATGACGTGCACTGAGGATGAAACATCCCTTTCTTCCAAATCCCCTTTGTTTTTAGAACAGATGACACTGCCTTTTTCTGCCCTTATCTTAATTTTGATCTCTCCCTCTCTCCCTCCATCCTTAGCTTTTTGTTTTCTCTTTCTGTCTGTCTGTATGCTTGCTGTCTCTTCACTGTGTCCTCTCTCCTCCTTGGTAGAGACAGTAATGAGGCTGGTGAAAGTGGCTGTATGTGTTGCGGTCACTCTCAGCTTTGCACTCAGTGACCCATCCAAAAATGGTGATTCTGTCCTCTCAGGAAGAATCTCCATATTCTTACCCACTGGGTTCTCTTTCATGTCGTTCTCAACTTCGTCAGGCTTCTCCTGTGCCAGGGTGTCTGTGACAGGCTCCTTCAGATGAGTTGGACTGGGGGATGTCAAAAGTGTGTCTGAGGTAGTGTGAGGTGATGACTGATTACTGGGTTTGGAGGATGCTGCAGGGTCTGATTTGGGAGAGAAATCCTGATGCTCATGAATTTCTGGCCCCAATTCAAGAGAAGAAGAGTACTTTACTCCTCTGGTGGTGCCAGCAGGAGGCCCCCCAAATGGACCGCCTCGACATGTGATCCTTTGGCCCCCAAGAAAGGTGGCAAGGCTCTTGAAGACGTCGTCCAAACCGGTTTTATGGTGGCGAAGCTCTCGGAGAGGAGAGCCAGTTTTTCCATTGCTTTCCAACTCTTCTTCCTTTTCTTCCTCCATAACTTGTTCTGTTGCAAGAGGCAGATTGCAGAGTTCAGATGCACCATTGTGTGAATAATCAGCCAGTGCGCCTTCACAAGGCTCCTTTTTCATATCATCAATGCTCTCTCTGTCGACAGGAGGAGGAGAAAAGCACTGGGTGGGGCTCGGCTGGAGGACAGGTCTACTTATCACTCCTTTTTCTAGCTCCTCTTCATCTTCTCCCACAGATGATACTGGAGAGCCCTGCCAGCTGAGAACAGGAGGAGTATTTGCAAGGTTGTCTCCCATTTCTCTCAAATTTCCCATCACAGCCACAGGCTGTAGATCTGGGGCATTGAGAATCCCTCCCTGCCCTCCTTCTTTGCTATAGATGGGCTGCTGTAAGCTAATAGAACATGCTCTACTGAGAGGGGCTAAGGCTTTAAATAAAACAGAGGGGAGTGTGTCATTGGGCTTGGCTTTTGGATGATCATCTGATTGGGATGACACGATGGTGGGCCTTCTGCTGGTCTGGTGAGGGCTGGTGTTACTGGCAAGAGACTGTACTAGCTCTTCCCTGACGGGAAGTCTGGAAGGACTGCTGTTCTTCTTGGGCATTTTGTGATTTTCAGATTTCGAGGATGGCTGCAGTGACGAGCAGCCGGGACGAGGAGTGTTTGTGGATGGCCTGTGTGTCCTCTCCACTCGTTCGCCCCTGTCTCTGTGCTTGTGTTTGTGTGGTGACTGGTCTTGATTCTCTGCAAATAGAGTTGTACTCATTCTGGCTTCTCCTGGAGAGTTCAAAGTAGGGATGGAAGTAAATGGTTCATTTTCAGTTACTCTTTTTTTCAAACCTAACTTCCTTTCCCTCTTTGCTGCTTTATCCCTCTTCTTTTTCTTCTCGGCCAACTTTTTTTCCTCTTTTTTCTTCCGCCTCTTTCTCTCATCACCCTTTCTGTTTGCCTTCTGAACTTCTCCCTTTCTCTCTCTCTCCTTTTTCACCACCTTATCAGTTTTTTTGTGTTCCTCCATTTCCTTCTCAGGCTTGTTTACTCTTGACCTGCTGTGGGGAGACTGTCGTGAGCAGAGGGGCTGTGAGATCTTTCTATATTTGATATCCGAAAACCTTGATTTTGAACCAGCGTGAGATGTGAGAGACGAAGGCCTTGGGGTGTGATTAGGGCTTCCCTGGAGTTTCTGCTGTCCACTGAGGCCAGGGCTGCACTGATGAATGATTGATGGATCTTTTCTGCCACTGGCTGCTGTGTATGAAGAGGGACTGGAAGGAGCACGTGGACTGCTGGCAGTAGAACCTCCATCTTTAGGACTGCAGAGGAGGGACGAGTAGGGAGGAGAGTCTGCACCAGATGACTTGGAGTGGGCTTGATCTCTTGAAGTGTCCCTTTGATGAGTGCGCTGAGGTTCCTGCAGAGTTAGCATTACAACTGTTTAGACTTTTGCTCAGGGATAGGACGCTCAATTACATGTACTGTTACACTAACATTGATAAAAATAATAATAGTAGCAACTTAGGCTTGGCATAAACAGCTTTTAAGTTTTTTATCTCCATATACACTGTACTAAAATTTAAATGCAACACTTTTATTTTTTGCTCTGAGAACCGCACTCAATAGATACATCTCTCTCAAACTTTGTTCACAAATTTGTTAAAATCTGTGTCAGTGAGCACTTCTCCTTCTCCAACATACGTAATCCATCCACCTGACAGGTGTGGTATATCAAGATGCTGAATAAGCATTGCTGCACAGGTGTGCCTTTGAATTGTCACAATAGCCACTTTTACACTGTCTGTTCAAGGTGGGAATATTGCTACGTTATGCAGCCTCACCATTAAGAATATAAGGCACAACCACGGAATGGGGGGGTACATCCAGACTGGCTGGACGTACAGCCAAATTCTCAGAAATGACATTGAAGATATCATTATGGTAGTGAAAGGAACATTCAGTTCATGGACAACTGCTCTAGTGGACATTCCGGCAGTCAGCATGCCAATGACATGTTCCCTCAAAACTTGTGACATCTGTGGCATTGTATAGTGTAATCAAACTGCACATTTTAGAGTGGCCTTTTATTGTGACCATCCCGAGGCACACCTGTGTAGTAATGATGCTGTGACAAATTTGTGAACAAAATTTGAGAGCAGTAAGTCTTTTGTCTGCATAAAATAGTTCTCTGATCTACAAATTTTTGTTCAGTGCACTTGATTATTTAGGCCATATTGATTTGGATACAGAATATCACACACTGATCATATTTATGCTATTTAAATGTTTGCTTCTTACTGTGCTTTGTTTGTGGTGATGGCTCCATGAGTCCTTTTCCTCATGAGAGTGTAGCGGAAGGTTGTGCTGTAGGGCCCTAGGATGGCCTGTGTGCCGTTGATTGTGGTAATGATGGTTTTGGTGGCTGTAAGGCACACGGTTGTGGTCTGCTGGTGAAGACGAGATTTTCCGGTCGACCTTCCCCCTGCTTCCATGATGCTGCGGTCTGCTGCCACAACTCTGGTTTAGAGCCGCTAGGTGACTGTTACTGAAGCCATGTCCTCCAGCTCGCAGTTTAGAGGTCTCCTACAAATGTCATAACCAGGGATGGAAATCAACGGTGAACCAAATGTTTGATCAGATTAATTATTTTGGTGCTGATTATAGAAGCTCACCTGTTGCTGTGTTGTTGAGGTCCTGTGGTCAGAGTGGTGGCAATGACCCGCCCTGTCATTAAGAGGCTTCCAGTCGTCTTGGTTGCAGCGGTGGTGGCGAGGTGGTGATTGGGCGTGGGCAAGTAAAGGTAAATGCCTTGATCCAGGATGAGATGACTGAACAGAGAAGCAGAAACATCCTGTCACACTAGATGGGATTTTACCAACGGGTGGTGCTATTGCACAGAAATGAAGGGCCAGATAAACAGGCTGTATTTAACAAAGGAATCAGAGTCAACAAACTTTACCTGATCAGGGCCAGAGTCTCTTCTTCTCTTGGCTAGACACTCTTCCCTAGGGGGTGGAGGTGGACTGTGCTGGTGCAGTTGGTCCCGCCGCTGGTGGAGGGCTGACCGTTTCCAGGCCCCTTGTCTGTTGTTTATCATTCTGTTAGGAAAGCTCCTGCGGTAGTCTGAGGGGGCCCATCTCTCCGGCGGGGACTGGAGGTCTCTGTTGTTGCGATGCAGTCGTAGACCCCCACGCTAACAGACAAAAAAGAGAAAAAAGGACATAAAGAATCAAATGATGACACATCTCTAGTTCCATCAACAATATGAACTCCTTTGGAAGTAACATTGCTTCAGATCAGCAGGTCTCACCACAGAGCTGCTGACATTGTTGTCCCAGTTTCCATAGCGCTCCCCTGGTCCTGTTAGATAGCCGTTGTTGGTGCCAGCTCGGTTGTGGAATGAGCGTGTGGAGTTGTGGTGCCAGTTCTGGGCCTCAAACGGCTGCTCTTTACTATCCCAGAGACGTAGAGGCTGTCTGTGCCCCTTAGAGATCCCCTTATCCTGGACATGGTTGACTGTTCTCTCCCCCCTGAGAAACAGACCAACTGAACTAAGCAACAACTATCGAGAACTGTTCAAAACAATGATGCCATAGCATGACAGGTACAAATTGGACTTTACACACCAAGTAAATATTCATATCCATGATGGAATCAGAACTAGCAAAGCTGGCTAAAAAAAAATCTGAAAATAAAGAAAATAAATTCAATAAATAAGTTGCAAAATGATATTTCTACTGTTTTACTCACCTATTATAAAGACGATTTGATGGTGGATGATGTGATTGATTGCGCCCTCCTTGGCATCTGTTGTGACAAAAACATACAGAAACTCTATAGTGTCTCAAGGCTATGATGCAGCTGAGAGTTTAAAACATACAGCCCATAAGAGCATATGGCTACAAGTCAGGTTAAACCAGGTGAACCAGACTTCTCTTTGCCAGTGTTTGCTTTATATGTGCACACTTCCCTTAAATGTCATGGTATTCTCTGTTGATGATTACAGCACGTATAAATGAGATGTTACTTCAGGAGCATTTCTTATTAGTGGTGTTCATTTTATTTCTTATGAGGTAAAAACAGTCTCTTTTGTAGCAATTAACTTAGTTATTTGCATAGCTGGATATTAAAGCGTTTTTGGTTGAAGGATCACATAACCCCATGCAGACTATTATATTGTCATTGTTACCATATCAAATACATTTAACAACAGCAAAACTAAATCAAAACATCTGCTTACAAACTCTCACACAACCCATGCAGTATAATCCAAGGTGATGCCCTGTGGCCCCAAAAAACCCTTTCCTATTGACTTACAATAGACAAAAAACTGTCTGTAATTCAGTGGATAATTTTTTTTGAGGATTACAACCTGTGCAAAATAACTAATTTCACTTTTTTTGAGTTATTTCCATTTTATAAGGGGCAGTTGAACCATTTTGGCTTCATGTGCCACTGAGCCACTTTCATAGAAATGAACAGGAATCTAGTTCTCTTTATTCATCTATTGTTTTCATTACTAAGGTTTTAGCCAATATGCATGTGCCTGGGAAGTACTGAGGGTATGACTGGATAAATAAGACTTGGATTACACTGTACGAGCTGTGTGAGACTTTGTACATGGATGTTTTGATTTAGTTTTGCTGTTGTTAATGTGGACCCCGTTTACTTCAATTCATCAGGAACGCTCAGCTTTTTTGGATTCTCTGTTCACTGTGCAGGCAAGTGCAAGTTTTCCCCATGAATTCAAGATAACATGTATTAAGTTTTTTATGTATAAATGATCATTTTGAGGATGAAGTATTCCTTTAAAATCAAAACATGCTTAGTGAAGTCTTGAATTTAACCTTGAAAGGAGGATTGTGACTTTATTTTTCAGCTGGATTGGATTACTTTTTGGTACTGTTTTTTGAACATTACATTTTTAAGTGCAAGTTGCTCAGGACAAAACCTGTCAGTGCCATATTTTTTAAATATAATTTATTGTTTACAGTTTAGTGTTCGTGTCACACCTCTTTATCAGACTCACAATTATTACTATTGCCAAACCACATAGCTGCAGACACAATCATATTCATCAGAGCCACGCTCAGCTGCTGCAGCTGAATAGTCAGATTGAGGCTTCTCTCAGCTGAAGAACTTATAGTTTCATTCAGCAGAGTCCTTCTTGTTTAAACTGCAGATGGGCTCCCGCTCACAGCTGCAGCTGGAGTAAGAGCTTTTCATGAATATGCTCATCACAGTTCAGTTAATCAGTCAGTCCCTTAAAGTGGTGCTTATCTCGAATCAGCCCAGACAACAAAGTCTGAAGTCCCACCTGCTGCAGTGACCCTTGCTGGGGAAGTTCAAGCCTCAAGTTGTGCCACTATCCAATCCCACCGACTTTCAATTATTGTCAGGAAGGCTTCGGACAACTCTTTCCCCCAACACTCTAGGCTTTAAAGGCATTTCTAGTGTATCTGCTCTCTAAAGAGTTACAGCCAACAATATCCACTTTGACTCCTCTGAAGCTTGGTGTAGTCTTATTGGAGGTCTTGGCTGGTGTTCACGAATAAAAATCATGATGTATGATCAGTGAATAAAGGAAAACTATATAGTACAGTTAGTACATAAGAGGTTATATCCACTGCATGTGAAATGACATGTGTACTCCTGTGAATATACCACTGTTCTTTTAGAACTTAAAGATAACACTATAGAAACACTAAGTGTGTGTGAGTGTTGTGACGGCGCTGCTGACCTTTCTGTGTGGCTCCAGGGGTGACCATTTACAGGAGCCCATTGTCCTCTGTTAGGTCCTCCAGCTGGATAGGAGTCCCATGTGTTACGGCCAGAGTACAGCTCTGCTGGGTGATACATGCAGCCTGAAACACAAATGATGTTTATTGCGTATGGTGTTATGATTTTAGGTAAATAAATAAATTAATGAACAAATGAATAAATATGATATGTCATGCCAATGTCAACCACTCCCATCTTAGCTTATGTAATGGCAATGACCAGCGTTCTCCACTGAAGCTTTAGTTCCTTAATGCTTATTAAGAGGACTGCTTTATTCACTCATTTATTATTTGAAAAAGGCCTACAGGTTTACGCTGTAATCACAGCCCAGTCACCAGAGGAAAATGTTGCCATTGCACATTTCTGCAAATCACAAATGTGTTACATTTGTATGTTTCATTCGTATCATGTCAACGTTTCTTAAGTGACGTTCTGATTACATGTCTGTGAGCTGACTTGGACGGTGGATGGTGTGACACCTTGGTGAAATGCCCACCAAGCTGCAGACCACTATTCAAGAATATCTAACAACAAAACTGGTTGGTTTTTTAATGATCTGTTGCTGTTTTACTAGCAGGAATAGTGCAACAAAATGAGTGGGTATTTTTTACTGAAACATTGCTGCATTTGCTGGTGGAATAGTGCTGGAATAGTGCTGTCGTTTTCATGCCTAAACATAACCATAACTACAGCATTTTAGAAACGGACAGACATATAAAGATTCAATGTATCCCCTGCATAATGGATGACAAATCTAACGCATCTGTGGTTTGCGGAAATGTACAATGCCAACATCCATTCTGGTAATTGAGTTGGTAATCCAGTAGAGTAAAACCCAGTTCCAGCAGCAGCTGAACACTGGCGAAAAATACTACACTCACACATAGATATATTTGGAGGTTGGTGACACTACAAAGCGTGACATCTGAACTAACGGCTGAGCTTTGTTCTCACACTCAGTGCAGCTGATAATAACCTACACCTTTACACAAATGCTTTAAGGCAGTAAGTACTACTGTGATACTATAAAATGCTACTGTGGCTGTGCATGTTTGCATGTAAACAGCCATAAATACACACATGCACACTCACACACATCCACAAAGTACAGAGATAGAAACAGTGGTTACCAGTCTTGGTCTGTGTTTCGGAGGCCCTCCACTTCACACCTGACAGCAGAGAAACATCAATGTCTATACAACCATTGCTTTTGTTCTGGCACCAAGTGTCATTTAGTGTATCTAGTACATTTTGTTTCCTCATGCTGTATTTTCTGCTGCACTGTATCTGTTCAGCGGTCCTATCATCAGTTAGCCAGAGCTGCATTGTGCATTCAGCCTCTCTCTAATCACTGCTGCCCAGCAGACACCACAGCTAATGGCCATCCAATGATACAAAAAAAAACATGGCACTAAGACGAAAGGCCATGGCAACCCCACTTTCAGAACAAAGAAAAGCAGAGAGGCAAAAACAGGGCAGGCTGTTGTAGTATTTTCCTCAGCCTACACTAAAAGCCCTGATTCTTTATTTCTCTGACAGGACTCAAAGCAACAGTACCCATCTTCCACCCTGTCTCACAGTTCATCATCATCCTCTGCTGGTTCAGTAGACCTTTGCTTCTTCTTTTCATTCGCCTCAACTTCCACAGGCACAGTGAGCTCTGGAGGTCAGGTGTTTGGCTGCTTGTGTCTCAACAGAATTTCAAGTCATTCACTTACTGTCCAATCGCAATTTCTAACCCTTATTCTCCTCTAGATATTCTGCATATTTCCATTTTTATTGTTTTTTTTTCCCTTTGATTAAAATAAAACTGTTGAATATAGTCATTTATTTGACCATGGGGCAGAAAAAAAGGTCATACTGTCTCCACTGCTGCTACCAAACACTTCAGCAGAGTTTGATGATGTGTTGAAATGAGCTGACCTTGTAAAGATCAACTATGCATGCTGAAGAGAGCATTGCTGCACTACTGATAGGTTGCACCTCTATATGCATTTCCGACAGCTATTTATAAATACTATGACGAGCTGCTGTGCAACATTTTACCACTTCCCTTTGTGGTGCATTTTACAAGTTTGTTCCATACAGCTTTTTTGGTAGTAAGACTGTAGTAAGCAGATGTGTAACAACCTTTCTGTGAGCGCTGAGTGAGCTAAGTGAGCAGCCTCTTCAAGAGTCCATTTCCTAGCAGTTGCTAGAGCAACTGAAGCCAGACTGCTGTGGCTTTAGGCCTTTTAAAGTCAATTTATTTTCAGAGTAGAAAGAAGACACAAAAGGCCTTTATGTACATACAATGTTCACCGCTAAGATAAACGATGACTGCATGCCTTTATCCTAACATGCACTGTATACCACTAGTTGCTAGATAAAGCTGTACAATGGACACAGCATGTCTGGTTATATGTCTGGTTATATCCACACTAATCCTCACATCACCTCCTGTTCCACTAAAATCTGCTTTTTGACAGACCAGCTTTCTGAGCTTCTCCGCTAACTGAAATAACCTCTTCATCATTTGCATCAAAGCTTTCTTTGCTTGGGATCTTGATTGTGTAACTTTATGCTAAGACTCGCCTGTTTGTGGCCCAGAATGGCACCTCTTGTGTCACATCACCGTCACTGGGTGCTTAATTCTTGTTTCACTGTTTGTGTTACAACATTTTCAGACACAAGTGTTGCAATTTTCCCATCTCTTCGACAAATAAAGGCGCTTTATCAGGTTTTAACCCTGAGCCTGCTGGTATTTGAGCAACATTACACAGACAGTGGATAAACCATCTGCTGTGGACCCTCCCTGTTGCACACTGCTGGGACACACTGTTAGTACAGTACAGTACGGTGTTGTAGGGGGAGCTTTCAGTCAGCAGCAGCTTAAATTTGACTCCACACAACAATGGCTCTGTGCTTCCTATATTAAATCCATCTGTGCAGGGTTAATTTGAGACATCTGGAATTTAGCTCTGAGGCCAAATGATGTCATGTGCAAAAGGGGTTAAGTTGCTGTCGTTGGGTTTACACTCTGCTTCGCAGTGAGGTAAGTTTAAGAGAAAAACATGCAATGCAAAAAGTATAGTATAAGAGTGTGTTTAAAAGTGTGTTAAATGTGACAATGTTACAATTTTGTCCTTGGCTTTGTTTTTGCATGATGCTTTGCAAAATGAGAAAAGAAGAGGACCCTTTATGCTCATTTTCAGGTTCTGTTTTTAAGGTTTCTAGTAGAACATGTTCACAGGCTTTAATGGTCAAAAAACACTTTATTTTCCTCATACTATCTGTGCTACACCAGCATTGGCCCTTTGTGAGTCCCTCTGTTTTAGCACCTGTCTTTTCAAAACCCCTTTCAAATCCCCAATGCTAGCATGTAGCTAAATCTACATTTGCAGTGTACTTGCAGCAGGGGAGTAACTGTAACGGAGAATAGCGCAACTTTCTATCAAGAAAAAATCCAAATAAAAGCTTCTAAACACAACTGGACATGTTCCAGCAGGAATATGATCCAAAATTGTGAAGAAATTCTCAACAGCGCCAACTAAGTTTACATGTTTCCCTGAAGTTAGCAAGTAGCTACATGTACATTAGCAGTGTATTTGCAGACAGGAAATAGGAGCAACTGAGCTGATGTCACAGTGACGACACATAGTTGCTGTTGGGCAAAAAACAAAGGCAGCACAAAGGACAATACTATTTGAACCTGCTCAGAACACAAACAAATACAAGATCAGCACTGTAACCATCGTGCAATCTTGTGTGCTAATACAGTGTACAAATAGATGGGAGATGGGTAGCAGAATACTGTGGCACAGATGTCCTCCTAAACATCACCATGAAAGAAAATACACATGGGTATCAGCTGTGAAAAGAAAAACCTGGACACTGAGAGCTGATGATTGTATTTGCGGTAACATACACATTTCATTGCAAGTAACGTCAGCTTGCAAATGAACCACAATCAACATCAATCATTTTCTTTAAAGTGAAAATTTGAGATGTCTTTATCAATGACATTGGTCTGTGTTGTTGAGTAAAGCTGGATGCAAAAATGTTAAGCTGGTTAAAGTTGCCAGAAAACTGTGCAATAATTTTAATAATGTCTTACATTAGTATGCACAACCTGGCCAGCTTAGTCTGTGGATCTCACTAATGTTAAATTTTATAGGAAGCCATTACATAACTTATCGTTAGACAGCTATCTGGCAACACTAGCTCGCTTAAAATGTCTGCAGCCAACTAACGTTATAGATGTAAAACATCTTAAATTTTCCCTTTAAAGTAAAAAATCACTTTAATGTGAGTTAATTCTTATTAATTTGTTGGCTGATGTAACTTACCTGAAATAAAATGTGTACTGCAAATACGATCATCTAATCCTGGTGTCCAGTTCTACCTTTTCACAGCTATATTTTCTTGTGTAATGTTACAGACAAGGTTCAAATAGTATCGTCGTTAGCGCTGCCTGTATTTTACCCAAAAGCAACTACACATCATTTCCTTAAAGTGTGGGTCAATCATTCTTTTGCCAATCAGTTTATTTTTTCAATCTGTGCAGCACAACAGCTTGCCATGTCACCCGCTATTTTGTTAGCGCTATTTTCTGTGTGACGAGAATGATGCTCTTGCTAAGCAGTGTGATGCATGCTCGTTTGTTCAAAAACACCTGTGGATGCACTTAATGCTGTGGAAAATCTTTAATAAAAGCTTCAAAGCACAAACGAGCATATTCCAACAGGTATATGATCCAAAATCAGGGAGGATTTTACAATATCAGCAACCAAGTTTACATTTTTTACTTGATGTTAGCATGTAGCCTCCTGTAGCAGTGTAGGCTACATAATGTAAACACTTGCGTGCAGTAGCATGCCTGGAACAGATGACCATGTGGAGAAATCCGGCACACTATGATGTCATACTGTAGCCAGAGTACAAAAAACTGTTGGAACATAGTGTTCAGAACAGGAGGAAACCTGAGCTTTTTGCTCAGAAGGGATACTTCTATACACGTTTAAGTAAACTTTGGCCACATTAAAAATTATCATTCTTTACTGTGACACTATATGTAAGGCACAAAATAGGTCCCCTTAAATGCGTTATACTAGTGGGTAATCAGTTGACACCTGCTGGTGGGTTAAACTTCCTGTCTGCACCCTTCAGTCTGCTTCCTCCCCCCCTCTTGTTGTCACCAAGGAAACCCCAGTCATCTCTCTGTCACCACAGACGGATAGCCATGCATCCATCCATGTCTCTGCTGAAACCCTCTATTTGGCTGTCTAACCTCTCACAATCCCAACAATCCTTTCTGCTAAGTGTAGATTTGAGACATGTACTTGTGTGTGCGTTTGTGCACGTGCATCTCTGTCACCAGTCTTACCTTGCAACAAGCACTGAAAGAAAAGGGGGAGGGGACAGAATCTGGTCCAAATTCGATGATGCTGTCAGTCAGGAATAGCAGAACAGCAGACCCGTGCGGTCTCCGATCCCTTTAAATAGACATCCTCCACTAGCTGGCAAACACACAGACACACATAGTAGTGGGAGTGAGGAAATGCCATAGTCAGTTGGTGCACAGATGTACAAGACAGGAAGGTTTTATTGTCTCAAATCGAGGGCAGCATCTCTCCTCCATTAGTGCCATTCTCTTCCTTTCTATCTATTGTCTCTCATTTCCTACAACACTTGCTTTCACACACATTTGCACTGTTGCAAACCTGACCCTCTGGAGACAAAGGAGGAGAATGAAATGAGATGGGAGAGGAAGGATGGGCCAGTAACCTCTGACAGGCTGACAGGCTTTCTTTTTTCCCGTCTTTCCTCTTCATGGCCCTGCCCTTTGCTACCTTCACTACTTGTTTCAACAAGGCTCCTTTTCTTCCTTGATACCCAATATCCCAGCCTCTTCCTTTCTCTTTCAGGCTATGTGTATGGCTCTGCCTATGCCTCACCCTCCCTTTTCTCTACATGCTGTGTCCCTTGTATCCCTGGCAACCGATGATATCATTTAGTCCAGAGCTGGGAGCAAGGCCTCCAGCAAGGAGGGGAGCGATTGCATGTGAGTGTGAGAGGGGGGTGAAATGGTGGAAGTCCATAGGATTGAATGTATACTTCCACATTTCTATCCTCTGTTCTCTCTTCAGATGTCTGCAACCTTTAGCTGCCCTATCTGCTGAATGAAAATATTCACTGTTTAGTAGAACACTGCTGCAAATACACTCCAATTTGTGTCCTCATTTGGACGAACCAACAGTGTGTCACATTCTTGCATACCTCACACTCTGCTGCTTGCTAGCTGCAGTGAACCACTGCAGATGTGCATCTCTTGCTGAGACTTTCTGCGTGCATGTGTGTGTGTGTGTGTGTGTGTGTGTGTGTGTGTGTGTGTAAGTAGTAAGGATAGTGATCCTATACCATAAAAGGAAGGATGGGCTGCAGCAGACCAGGCCTGTCTCTGGTGGCTCCTAGCAAACACCAGGAGCAGAGACATGGAGAGAGAACAGATGGAGACAACGTGCAGACAGACAGACAGACAGACAACACAGACAGACAGACAGACAGACAGACAGACACTGGACAGACAGCTCTCCCTGAGCACATGCACATATATGATTTTATTGGATTCAGGCCTGAAAATAGCGTCACGATCACAGAGACAGAACGTACAGTATGAGCCGAATATCAATCACATTTCTAAAAATAACATCCCCGCAGCCCCGCTTCCCTCGGCTCTATCCCCTTCTCCCTCTCTGTAACAGCAGCTTCTCCTGGTGTATGCTCCATAAAGCACAGCCCCTCTGAGGGGTACTGGAATGTACCAAGGCAAGGTCAAGAACAAGAAAGAGGGGTGTCTTTTGCAAACAATGCAAAAACTGTACAGCTTTTTCTGAACAAAGACAATGAGGCAGGTTAACAGGTTTGAAAACGGCACTGGATGCACATGTGCGAGTGAGTGTCAGACAGCTGGCTGGTGCGAGGAATGGTAACCTAGAATCGCACATCCAGGTGGTTACCTAAGCCGGCAATCACATAGACTGGAAGCATACATTGGGTTCATGGTGTACTTTGGACAGTAACCCCTGTTACCTTTGTTTATTCTATTTTAAACAAAAGTGTGTAAAATATTTGACACAATTATTTGATAAAAACCCAACAAAGCCAAAAGCGCTCAGCAGGTCTGAGCTGAACTTTCAGCGGAGCCGAGTACTTCTGTGACACAGTTTAGACATGACTGTAAATGAACATTAATCATCACACTTGGTGACACTGTAGCCTCTTTACTACTGTACACCTCCCACATACACACACACACACACACACACACACACACACACACACACACACTGATATTCAACAGTTAAATGTTCCACAGAGCTGAGTGTAACCGCAACAGTCTCCCTTCACTACATTCATCATTTCACATTTCTGCTCCTGCACTGTGTCTGCACGTGAGCACTGTACGTGTGCATATATGTGTGTGTGTGCGTGTGAGCTTCATGCATGAATGTGCAGCAGTCTGCAGACACACACACACACACACTGCAGTATGTTCTGCCAAGACAGATTGTTCAGAACAATGACACACAGAGAATACACACAAATGCACACGCACACGCACACACACGCACGCACGCACGCACACACACACACACACACACACACACACACACACACACACACACACACACACACAAGAGAAACAGCAATACCAGCTCCCACTTCTTCCACACAGCACAATGCATGTATTGTATTTACACTCAGCCATAAGCAAATAGCACATACAGCTGCTCCTCTGTTCTTTTACCTTTTTCTTTTTCTGTCTTCTCTCTCTTTGGTCCACACACCCCCTCTGCTCCCCTTTTCCTCCCTTTCACTCCTCTCCACCTCGATCCTCTCCTCTGTCTTCTTTCTTCCCCTCTCCTCCTCTTCCTGTTTCCACTCCACTCTCTGATGCTTGGGCTCTCCGAGCAGACCGATCCATGTACCGAGAGCGACGGGGGCGGGCCCAAGAGCTGCCAATCACGGGCGCCAGCCAATGAGAGGGGGGATCTTATCTATCACATTTTGCATCGAGCTGAAAGAGGCAGGACGAGAGGAGAAACAGCAGACAGAGGCATTGGAGGGGCTCTTTATTTCCCTCTTCCTCTGTGTGTGTAGGTGTGTGTATTGCCTATACAATGTGTGTGTGTGTGTGTGTGTGTGTGTGAGAGAGTGCAAGTGAGAGTTGGAACGTGGCCAGTACAGTAGAGGAGGTATTTGAAATTTCTCCACAGCTGTAAAAATAATCTTCTGGAGCTCATACAGACATGTTTTTTTGCAGAGTGGTTGACACATTTTCCTCATATAGAAAAAATAGGATATTAATGGCTTCATTAAGGGACTGTACTTTACTTATCAGAGTAGGGGTGGCTGGAGTGTGATGTTTCTTTCTTAAATCATGATCCTCCCTGTAGCTACATGTATTTTATGACCCTCCTTTCACCATAAATAACCATATTTCACCATTTCTTGCCATGATAAATGGTGTGACTTGGGGGATTTTTAAAGAAAACATACCTTTAAAACCCACTTGAGGGTTTTAGTGTTCTGATGATGTTTAAAATAAATACAAAATACACCCATTTAAAGTTGAACGCCCCCTCCCTATGCCAAATCAAAAACACATGTCTCTTCCTAATGTTTAAAAAATGATTTGGAGTGCCTTTGCTGTTTTGCACCACCTCCTTCCCTCTAGTAACTAACAGTCCCTAAAGGGTCACTAGATCATAACACATCAAATTCAAATATATGAACAATGGTATATCCCACTTTTTGTGGCTCATGCTGGAGCTGTTTGCCCAGGTGTCGTTGGATGAATTTGAGTGAAATTGTGACAGAAGGGCTGCGAGTGTTGGCTGAGCTCAAATGTCAAGTGACAGGAGAAGCAGGGGGGAGGTGGGGCTACGGCTCCAGGTTCATGAGGGAGGGCCTACACTTTGTGGCTCGCGATGCAAAACCCCCTCCACTCACCCCCTCTGCTTTTTTTTCTCCACCCATCAGCGACCAATAAAAAGCAGGCAGAGCTGCCGATGCCTGAGTGCACGCTGAGAGGTAGAGACGGAGGCAGCGCTGATGAGGAGCCAGACGAGTGTGAGAGTGAAATGGTGGAAGCAGCCCGCTGACAGGTTTTTTACCTCTCAAGTGCCTTAGCAACAGCCCCCGATCAACCCAAACGCTATTGGTCAATGCGCGAGCCATGTGGGTATTTGGGCCAATCAGAAGGCTTTGGTGCAGAACTAAGAAGGGACAGCTTCATAGGCTGGAATAGCTGCTAAATTGAGCCCCCTGGTGGCTCAGTGAAGGCCCACAAACTGTCTCCTGTAGCTCAGTGTGAAGGAAGCATCTGGTCTGTCTGGAAAGTTACTAGGGAAAAAACAAAAAGCTGTCATGTAATGATACAGCAAATGTTTTACAAAATGCCACCCATGGACTTAGGAAGCAGTTATAGATATAATACTAATGTGAATTTAAGCAAAAGTTATATCGTTAAACACAAATGTAATGTAACAACAATTGAATAAGTAACAAATGTGTTTTTGTTTAACCAATAATTGACTCATATTCTGACAAAATACAGCACTGATAAAACCATATGTTAAACTGATTGACACAAGGCAACATAAACATTAAGAAAGGAAAAGGAAAAACCCAGCGGCCCAAAACTAGAAGATAAAATTTAGTCGACTTAAGAGTGTAGGATTCAGGGGGTTACCTAGGCAGACTAAATATGCTTTCTTTAGTGTATGATTACCTGAAAATAACAGTTGTTATATTTTAGATTAACTTGCTTATATTTACATACCCAGCCAACATTTGTAGGCCTATATGGGGCCCATGTGGGTGGTAAATGGGCTGAAAAATGGGCACTATATGGGTGGGGTTACACAAGTGGGCCCTCACATGGGTTATGCGAGGGCTACCTGGGTACCAAGTGGGAATGGGCCCAAAATGTGCATCTTACCAATTCCCCACCAATGTGGGGAATTGGCATGGGGCCAATGTGAAACCCGTGGACAGTCTTATACAGGGCCCATTTTCAGTACATTTACAGCCCACATGAACTCCACATACAAATGTTGGGTAGTAAATGGGTCCTTGTACACAGAGTTTGCCATGTTGCACCGCCATGTTTCTACAGTAGCCTGGAACAGACAAACCAAACACTGACTCAAAATAGGGCCATTTGCATTTTTATGTCAGGAACCGTAGTTATTAGCCATTAAACTGCTTTATTCAGTGTTTTTGCTAGTTTTAATGAATTAATTTTAATTCTGTTTGTTTTGGAGAGGAAGAGATCTCTGCACATAATTTCACGCCAGGTAGAAACAGGAGTTAATGCTTGGCACATGGGAGAAGTTTCAGCAGGTTGTATTCTGCAAACCTCACCATTAGATGCCACTAAATCCTACACACTGCTCCTTTAAATGTATAATATATAATTTTCTGCTGTTAGGGATTGCTCCGTCAACACAATGCCAAAAGACAGAGCAATTCTTTCATTGCAGTCAGTTTCCAACTGAGTTTAGGATTCCTTCAGTGTTCATTGTCCAGGAGGTTTTTACTGGTAGCCGAATTATCTGCAGAGGTCTCTTCTTCTCCAAAACAAATAGACCAGGTGATTTAACCCACTAAAACACTGAAAAAAGCAGTTTCATGTTATAGATCAGTGTTTCTCTGATGCTGTTGTTCGGAACAGCAGGGGCTTGAGCTGAGTTGCTTCTATAATGTTAGCTCTGTGTTTCTCTGATAATAACTTCCAGATGTCCGACTTAAAATCCTTCATCCCATTAAAATATATAGGCTAGTAAAAAGTGACCAAGATCTAAAATGTTTATCATAAAAATGTGGCTTGAAACTGGATAAAAAGTAATTTTATGACAGCTTCTTTCATACAACCACAACCCTGATGCATGCGCAAAGTGGATATGAAGCCACTGACAGGCGACAGTGACCAAATGACACAGACCGTGTCCTTGATTAAAATGACAGATTTCTCTGGGTTTAAGCACTGTTGGAAACATTTCAGATCATATAAAAATACAACAAAATATATGATATTAGTTTAGTTGTTTTTAGGCATTTTAATGTGAAAAAGTTACATAATATATTTAATACAAATTCATAAAATGATTCATGTTAAATTCTGAGAAACACTGAGCAGAATTTTCAAAACTGAAAGATATTACTTTAACCTACATAGCAGAAACAACACAATACTGTATAACCTCACTGTACACCTGTCAGTGAAGAGGATCTCTCTGACATAACAACAAAAAGATTCATGCTAAAAAAAACATTAAAAATGACAGTTATGGTGTGTATCACAATTCTTAGTCAACAAACACGACAAATGCTGTTGTTGGATTTTTTTTTTTTTTTTAAGTTTTATCTGTATTTTTATGCATTTATCATCAAGGAAGAGGGAATGGAAACAAGCAACAATCAAGCCTACACTGCCTCTAAGTGGGCGACATGTATTACTGCATGATGACTTCCTGGATTTTGTGCACGTGCAGTACGTGAAGTATCCATATGGCAGCTGGCAGCCATGTGGGTGCTGAAAAATGCAGTAGAATTGGTAAAATATCTTGAGTGTGAATTATATTCAATTGTCATATTATCATTTTTACAATCACTAGCTACTTAGCAGGGTCAATTAATAATTTCATTAATTTGTCATTAAATCATCTAACAGCCTAAAACATACTTACATGTCTAATGGACTTATTCCAGGTCAGCTGGACGTGTCTTTGAACTGACAGGTCATTAAATTTGACTTTTCCACTCCAGTCTGAAAAACATGGAATTGTGGGATATATTATAACAATGTTTATAAAGAACTTTGTATTGAGGATTATAGAAATTTACTCAGAGAAACAAATAAACAGATGAGGGTATGATTTTTGTCTCATATTTAAAATCATACCCTAAAGTGCTGCCCCCATGACTCACATTGATAACCACTGTTTGAACAAATCGTGACCAGTAATTACATTTTCTTCTAAGGTAGTGCTAACATTAAACACAGCAGCAGCAAAATGCTCTCCCTCCTCCACTGATGAAGCAGCGGAGAGCAGCTGAACCGTGACTGCACTTGGTCTGAATTTATAATTCTAATTGGTAAAAATGCTGACAGCTGAAAAATGTCTGTTCACATAACTGCATCATCAGCCCCAGCTACATAAGTTATGATTGTCATAACTCAGGATTAGATCAGAGAGGCAAGCTGGTCCCTCGATGAATAACCACACTCAGTCACTCAAATTGACTTATTAGGGCAGTGAGGGATTGTTGCTCCAGCTAATCTGACAAACAGTTTCCATTTGCATAAGAGCGACTTGAGAAGAGGGCAGTATACTGTAGCTCAGCACCAGACAGCCCATCCATTGATATGCAGCACAGTTTATTTCCTTTATATTTCAGATATTTAGAAAGGTGGTTCCCAGTCTCTTCTGACACAGCCCTGTTACATGAGCTCACATGCTCCTTCATTAACACCGTCCATCAAGTTGTTATGTAACTCTATTGATTATAGAAGTGGATATTGTTATGATACTTATATATAGCACCTTTCAAAACAGTGCTTTACAGTAAAATTAAACACACTAAAATGAACCAAAATGTCATAGTGTCACCAAGATAAAAGATAAACCACAAGAAGGCCAAATCTTAAACCAAGAAAAATGAACAAGAAATAAAAAAAATCAATAAGATAGCAATAAAATAGGCAGACAGCTCATATGAAATCAGGATATGCTTTCTGATCAAAGTATGTTTGTAGGACTGACTTAAATGAAAACAATGAGTGAGACAATCCTATTTCCTCTGACAGGCTGTTCAGAGCATCAGGGTGCTGCTTGCAAAGGCTCAGTCCCCTTTAGTCTTTAGCCAGGACTCTGGAACAGACAAAAAGACCACTGTCCAAGGATCGCAAACCTTGCAAAGTTTCATAAGGGATGAAAGGTCTGAAATATAAATTACAGCCAGGCCGTAAAGAGCCTTAAAGGTAATTAATAAGATCTTACAATCAATCTTAAACAGACAGGTAGCCAATTTAAAGAGGCTAAAACTAGTGTGATGTGATTGTAGTTTATCACCTGCTTTTGGCAAGCTATTTCTAATCTGATTGCCAGAATAAATGTTGGCATTGTGCATATTGGCAAACCACAGATCCGTTAAATTTGTATATTATAGTGGATATGTTGAAACTTCTGTGTTTCCTCACAGTTCAACAACACTGTGGTTAACATGTACTTAGGTTTAGGCACAAAAAACACTTGCCGTGGTCAGGAGCAGATCTTGTTTTGATGGCACAGTCCAAGCTAGAAATGCATCGATGTCTCTGTAAAAACAAAAGCTTTTAGTGGCACTTTCCTGGCAGAAAACACACTGATGACTCACTCAAAACCAACCGCTTGTGTTGTTTGTTGGTCTGCAGCTTGGTAGGTGTTTTGCCTATAGGTGACATGCCATCCACCATCCCCTCCACCTACTGGTGACAGTCAGCTCATAAACTACCTTACTTCAGAAATGTTGATATGATATTATAAAGCATAAAAATGTGTAATGTATCCATGGTTTGCAGAAATGCACAATGCTAACATTTTATTCTGGTGATTGGGCGGCTATTCAAGTGTTTAGTCATTAATTTCAGCTAAGTGTGAATGAGTACTCCGGGGTGTTCAGGTATTCAATATGACGCAAATAAGCATATTTCTTTTTCTCTTCCCTTCCTCTCCCTTTTTGCCCTCGTTATTACTTGAGCTACTCTACAATCTTTCCACCTACCCCCTAGCATGTGAAGACGTGCCCCTGTAGGGTTTGAGAAACCCTGGTTGGGCATCACTAACTGAGATGATAATCCCAGGGCATGTGTAATGACCTCAAGGACAGTGTCAGGACACGTGGCTGATGAGTGGATCAGTCAGTGACCCCTCTGTCAGTGCAACCACCGAGCCACATGGCATGTTGTTATCAAATGATACTTGCAAAGAAAACATCCAAGTGTCCCCTGCAGCACTGGAGAAAGAAAACTGTGCACCCATAAAGATAAAGAATTTGCATAATGTGTCCAAGCTGTCACGAAGGACTCAAGACAAAAAACACTTTGCAGACAGGAAGAGACTTTCAGATGGATTAATTGCTCTGTACACAGTGAGCTGCCAGAATAAGTCAAGCACCCATTTTGGCAGAACATTGAGCCATTTGCTATGAAATAACTCATTCTACTTCATGGGAGATGAAGTTTCTTCAGTTTCAATGGAGCACTGGGTTATTTTCTTATTTTGCTTATTGAAATTCATCATTATCTTCACATTTGGTTTATATACAATTCAGCTTTGTCTTTGATTACTGTGCATGTTTGGTCTCTGTCGCTGTGGCGTAGTTAAACTTTATCTTCACCATTCATGCCGAGCAGCATAGTACCTCTGAAGCATACTGCTCACTGAGGACCTTTTGTTCATTGCTAAAACAGATTAGACAGTTTTGCATTTTACTATGACATTGATAGCACGTCTCTGAATGTCCCATTTCAGTGTCCCTGTATTACATCACCTAACTCTTTGAGAGTGAGTTGTGAGCAGGAAACAAAGGGATCCTGCAAGGCCAAAATGTTTTTGCAGGGGGAAATTATTTTGGCAGGTGGTTTGGATTTAAAGCCTTCAAATTAAAGCCTTCACAAGTTTTTCAGATTAGGTTTGCTGGTCCTGAATAACTCGAGGCATTAAGGTGAATATGTAATGTATGTAATGACATGCTGAAAATTTGACATTTGACAGCATTGTCTGCACCCCCTGGGGACTCAATGATCCAGTAACGTGTTGCCTCATCATTTGATGCCACCATTAGTATAATAGAATGGCCTCTATCTCAAAGGTCAAACCATAACCTCATTAAGAACTCACTGCGGACAAACCTGTCACTTAAGGCCAGAGGAGATGATGGACGCAACCTCACTGGATCCATAAGTTTGTTACAGTAGCTTAACTTAAAAAGAAAAAGAACAACTAACATTTAACACAGCATTCACCAGATTCCTAGGTTAAAGCAATGACCTGAACATCCACGCCCACATGTGTCATGAGGCCAGTCTTGCTCGCACTCTTGCTTTGCATATCTGATTTGTCATAATCATAACTGCAAACCCTCTCTGCCATTGCTTTCCAGAAGCTTCAATATAGCACACACTGAGGAGACAGATCAGACCATGAATTTGTCACCAGCTTCCCTTTTTGTTCCTTTGCTGGGCTGTTTTTTGCCTCTAATGTCAGCAACAGTTGTTCTAGATTTTAATCACGTAGAGAGATGCAAGGACTCCCTGTACATGGGGACACCACCACGCGGGTTCACCGACACCAAACTGAAGAGGATCTGCCAACGTTACGCTGACAGACCTCGCTATGTGACCCTGTACGACCCCCAGAAGCGGATTCCAGTTTACTCAGCTTATACTTTCAAGAAAACAGAAGGAGACAGACGTGTGGACTACCCCTGGATGTATGAGCCACAGGTCAGAGACTTGTCTTTGTGTAGTAGTTCAGGTTTGTTTGTAAAAAATGCTTCATTCATAAAGGATCTCCTATTCATTTTTAACCATTGTTTAACCAGGTAGCTCACAAAAAACTATAAACTCTCTTTCAAAGAGGATGCCAGCTGCTGAAATAGCCGATAGGTCTACTCCAGATACAAAGAGGCCTCACAGACATTATTGGCTTTGTATTGTTTCCCAGTATATAAAAAGAACTCTACTCTACGTGCTCTTTTGTCTCCCCAGCTGGCAGAAGTTGATGGGAATGGAAACATGCAGCCCTTCCCTACTGGCTACCTCCACATGAAGTTTGAGGACAGCCAGGCAGTCCTGGATGACTACTCTGATGTGGTCTTGTATGAGAGAGGTCACCTGAACCCGGACCAGCACCAGTCCACGCCACACGACCGTGCTGCCACCTACACTCTAACCAACGTGGTCCCAGAGATACGCGAGTTCAACATCGGGCCTTGGCGTGAGTATGAGGAGCGGATCCGGGTCCGCCTCAACAACTTCTGCCGGGGCACGGCCTACATCGTGACCGGAGTGACCACCAGGGGCAACATGATCCGCAGAAACAACCAAGACCGCGTGGCCATCCCCGAAGATGTGTGGTCCGCTTACTGCTGCACTGACTACGACCGGAATGCACCCCACGATGTTCGCATCCGCTTCCCGTCTTATGGAGCCTTGGCCAAAAATGCCAGAGAGGGCAACAGTGTGAACGAGATGCCAGTGCTGGAGCTTGAGATCTTTCTGAAAAATAATCTTGATGTTGACCAGAACCTTCAGCTCTTTTATGACAACTGCGTCTCTCCCTCACCCCTCCCTCTTTACCTCCAACATACTATCTGATAGCTCATCCTACCTTCTGTGTGCACATGGGTTTCTACTTAGGTTCAAGTTAACGTAGATAATGGTAGACATCTGTGCTTTTTTTGTGCTTAAGAGTGATGCAAAAATCAGCCCAATCGCCAGAATAAATGTTAGTATTGTACATTTCTGCAAACTATGGTTATGTAGCCAAATATTACTGTACATTTATGTGTACATTTTTATGTAGTACAGTGGTTCCCAACTGGTGCAGCCCTGGGGTCCAGATTTCTCCTTCGTCATTAGTTCAAGGTCCACACAGTTTAATACATTTAGGGCCATACTTGCGTTTGGCCATGTCATTTAGCTCGTATGCTGTCTCTGTTAAGCGGTTAACCATTAATCACTCATTCTACAGCAGGAAACAGCACTTCAGAATAAAAGCTCTGTGCCAGAAATTCACTGTAGTTAAAAATCAAGTGTGTTTGTACAAACTTGACATGTTTCAGAGTCACATGTGGTCCATTCAGAATAGATCTGCGACCTACTTTTGGACCGCGAGCCACCACTTGGGGCCCACTGATGTAGTAGACACATTGAAACTTTCCTTTCTTTCAACTTTTTACTTTCAACAGTGCTGTGGTTAACGTGTTTAGGTTTAGGCAAAGAGGAAAAGATGTTTTGACTTAAAATACCCGGTTTTGTTGGCACCAATGTCTCCCTAAAAAGTGACCAGTTTTGTTGTTTGTTGGTCTTGAGCAATGGTCTGCAGCCTGATGACCGAAACTCAGCTTATATACATGTAATCAGAGTGTTGCTTTAGAAACGTACAAATGTAACACGTGATTTGCAGAAACATACAATGGCAACATTTTCTTCTGAGGACTGGACTGAAAAAAAATTAGATACTGATTCTCTGTAGTGTTAATCTGAAATCCCTCTTGTAGCTCAGTTATTTTTTTTGGAAAAACAGAATTGGTAATACTCTTAAAAACTTTATTGTAAGAATGTTGTCTTTGATTATCATTTCATTTCATTATCAAAAATAAAAGCATGACACATTTTACAGGAGAACTCTTTTGTTGGAAGAGGGATAACATTATAATACTGCTGTGTTGGAGGTTATGCAAATCAGCTAATTTAATAAAATATCTTCATTTACTGGTCTGTGTTGTGATTGTGTTATTCAGGCTATTATTTACTTTAAATTCATATGAAATGTCACTGTAGAGCTGTGGTAAGCTTCCTTTCATGATACTCTTGAGCATATGAGTTTGAATGTTGGGTCAGTTATGAAAATTGGATTTGACTTTTATGGCTGTCTGATGGGTTTTAGTGTCTTTAATCATTTAGTAAATCTACTAGTCATAAAAGTCTTTTGAATATAATAAAAAATCCATGGGCAGCTGCGTAACTCGTTGCAGAGTTCTTTAACTTTTAGAAAACCAGCAGGACTTAAAAACCCTTGCAAACTTACCATCTTACTTTTATCATTTAAAAGACAAGAATAATGAGAATAATATTTGGGTATCCAATGAAACATGAAAAATGTTCAAATATTACCTCTGTGAATATCATATCATAAAGGCATATTTGACTTGTCATAATTTAAAAAGTGGTTCTTGGTTTCATGTGATGGCGAAGATATCTTCTTTAAAGGTTTTGAGAGCGACGTTTCTGTTTGCAGTTCTGAAGATGAAGACACTTTTTGAGCTTTTGAGCTGTTAAAGCATCATCAGCCATCATTCCAAAATGAAAGTAAGGGAGTTTTTTTCTTCTTCTTAAAAGAGCCTGGTTTACTTTCAGTCATTTTCTGAGGCAGCAGGCCTTTTCTATCCATCATAGCTGCACACTGCCATCTAGTGACAGAGGAAGAGTACCTTCACTGCTCACAGAGAGACCAACAGAGCATCATTATCTGTAATTAGGTTAAGCACAAAAGAACAATGCTATGAAATTAATGTAAACATCAGTCATCTAAACAACTGTGCTATCTGTTTATGATGAATCTGCTGAACTTATAACAAACATGATTTGGACAGTGCACATCAACCACAAGAGTTATTAGACACAGTGGGATCTAATAACTGGCTTCTTATTGCAGCAATAACTCAAGCCAGTAATTCTAAACCAAAAGTAAGGATTTAATATTTCAGACATGAAAAACTCAAAAAAACAGAAAAGTTTTTGAAAATGGATGCATTGTCTTTTGATAAGCTGAGGTGGTATTACAAGCTCGATAGAAAACATTTCTGTAAATACCTTTCAGCTAAGAAGCCTTGTTAAAGTAAATCAAAATAATAAATAGACCAGACCCCCACACTCATCTTTGAAAAGAATGACGAGAAAGGATAGCTTGAGAAAAGGCCATTTCAGAGTTTTATAATTTGCTGACATCTTACTAAACCAAAAATTCACAGTACAAGTTAAATACCTGGAGGGAAAACCTGCAATCTGAAACTTCGGATGAAGCTTAGGATACAACGTGGGCTGATGCTTATACTAAGTATATAAATACAAGCCTTAAATTCACACAATATAAATGGTTAATGTGAACACGTGTGACACCTGTGGAATTATATCATTATAACAAAAACAAACCAGACATAGGCACAACATGTAGGCCTACAGAAAACAGAGGAACATTGTTTCACTTTATTTGGCAGTGCAGAAAGATTAAAAATTCTGGGAAGAGGTAAGAGTTATAATCAAGATGATAATTTGAAAGCATTTACTGTATAGACCTCAGCTTGCTTTACGCCAAAAAAAAGGATTGCAAGTTTATGGAAAAACATTCACAGACTAAGCACTATTCAATGGATAAGACGGATTTTATCCAGCCTTCCATTAGAAAGGATAACTTACATATTTATATCAACAGCATACATTTGAGAATATATGGAGGCCCTTCACAAATTATGTTGCGGACTTAGATTTATCAGATAATCAAGTGAATATCTAACAATGCAGTTTCTAAGCTTGTATGAATTGTCCTTGTCTATGTTACACTTGTCACATTTTGCATTGACTGCAGTTAAAATACTCCATATTTCTAAAGATTACCATTTACTGACAATGTTATGTAATGTATTATATGAATGTAAAAAGCTATATTTTACGGCATAGAAAATTCAAATAGAAATACTGTGGGAAAAAAAGAGGGTTGCATTGTAAACTTGTGCAAGGTCAGATTTTGCTTTTCCCTCTCTTCCGTAAGGAATTTTTGTACGATAATCAAAATAAATAAAAAAAATAAAAATCTAAATTTTTAATTTAAATAAAAACTTAAATAAATAAAAATTACTAAAACTGTAACTGCAGTCTATTGGTGATACTAAGAATGCAGAAGATGTGATAGAGGGTTAAAAAAAAGATTGATTGATTAGAGTGCTGACCGTGACATTGTAGAGGAAGAGAAGGGTGCAACATTCAGACAGCAGAATGTGTTTACTCAGGAGTGATAACACAGAATGTAGCCCTATCTGTGGCCAAAAATAAATATTCAATTATTTCCACATCAGGGCTTGTATGAATGGAAAGCTGTGCATTAGCACAAATGCTTCATCCAACAGCAACAGTGCATCAGTCTGCTCCAGTATATTTGCCATAATATTGATTTATTGTGTACAGCAGCTGAGTAAACACAGATCAGAGGACAGTTCCCTTCATAGAACTTGTGCTGTTATTTTAAGCTTTGAAATTCAAATCCTCTGAATAACTTGAAGACCTCATGGAGTGAAAGTCACAACTCAAGTCTGTGTGAATTAGAAAATGAAATCATGTGAAGCTGAGCATTAGGAGGATACATTTTATAGGAAGTGCTAGCTATATGCTAAAAAGCAACAACCACAGCCTACTTGAAAAAGTCACCTTTTTAGGATTTCCTCAAAGCCTTAACTTACCCACTAATACAGAAACAAACACCATGGTTCTGTCTCTAAGCAGTCACATCACTTTCATCTCAATAAAATAAAATAATCATAATAATAAAAACATCACTCCTGTCAAGCGCCAATGATCAATATTTTAAATACTGTCAGTCTGTCAAATAACAGCATGTGAGAGGAGTCGCTCGCAGTGACAGATGCAAAAAAATAACCAGCCAACTCTACAGAGCTACACAGCTTTTAGTGTCAGGGATACTCAACCTGCTTTGACTGGGGGCTACCTATGCAAAATGAGGGTGGCAGTGAATAAACAAACATTATTTATCAGTATAATAAATGAAATGTCTGTTTTACACCTTGCTGTCCTCACTTTCTTCCTAAGAGACAAATCCAGTTACAGCAGCGCGGTACAAGTCAGGTGTACGCAGAGGCGTTTCTAGGATATGAGAACATTCTGGGCTTAGCCTGGACCTCTGTTGGTGGTCACTTTTTTATAAATAATATATAATATATAATAATATATACAACGGGACAATGATTCTAAACACACCTCAAAATCTACAGTGGACTACCTCAAGAGGAGCAAGCTGAAGGTTTTACCATGGCCCTCACAGTCCCCTGACCTAAACATCATAAAATTTTTGTGGATAGACTTCAAAAAGCAGAGCATGCAAGTTGGCTCAACAATCTCACAGAGCTAGAAGCTTTTTGCAATTAAGAATGGGTGAAAATCCCTCAAACAAGAATTGAAAAACTCTTAGCTGGATACAAAAAGCGTTAAGAAGCTGTGAGACTTGCCAAAGGGGGGCGCTACTAAGTACTGACCATGCAGGCTGCCCAAACTTTTGCTTTAGGCCTTTTTCCTTTTATGTTATTTTGAAACTGTAAAAGACTGAAATAAAAAAGTAATCTTGCTTAAAATATTGAAGAAATGTGTCATTATTAACATTTTTAAATCAGGTCATCTTTTACTTCCTTAGTTATTCACAGTAAGCAAAATTTTGACCAGGGGTGCCCAAACTTATGCATGCAACTGTATATATATTCTCTCACTTCTTCCCTGATGGTCGAAATAAGTAGCTCAAATTTTTGCTAGCTGCTTTTTAGGAATAGTCGGTAAGAGGGTCTGAAAAGTGACTTAATCTAGCAAGAAAG